TATCAAATTCATAAATTATCACGACGATCTTATCTCAAATATCTCTGATTATTAGAATTATATGAATTTCTTAGAATTATATTTATTTCTCAAAATATATCGATGATATAAGAATTATAATCAATACAAACGTAACGAAATCCGCATAATAATAGTATTACCATTATCAGAATGAAGATGAATTGATAATTATTCAAAACAGACCCGAAGACGTGAGGTAAGAAAACCTTCATGCCACAGGGGGAGGGGAGACCCATAATAAGCAGACCGCACCCCCAGACCAGGCCATACCTTAAAGGAGCGAGGAAGCAACCCATCCCCACGCCATACCATAGGCACATATGTGTATGATAGCAACAAGAGATGTCAGAAGTCGTGACGGATCCGAGTGTAATTCAACCAGACACGTAGAATTTGCAAGAAAAATAGTTCGGCCAGTCGAGCGCCTTGCAAGAATCTATGTTCTCATGTAACCATAGTAAACGCTCGTCACCAGAAAATTGTTTTCGCCAACAGGAATTCTGTTCGGCTAGCTCCCTCTTTGAGGTATTGAGCCCAAGAGGATTGCTAAGGGTTTGGCCATGCATCGTTGTGACACACGGGGGTCTGACAGGCAGACCCCGAAGGCGATCTACGAATACTTCATCCAATGCAGCTTGTCAACCTGTACTTGCAGATATCAAAGAGGAAACTTTCAGACGTAAACTCGATCATGGATTTGTCGAAATTACACATGCCATGAACTCATGCGCTCTCACAGTGTACAAGTTTCCATTTGGCTGCTTCCCACTCCTTAGCAAGTCAAACACAAACACCACCACTGAGCCAGATGCGGTGAAGGCTGAGCTCAGGGCGAACTCGGACGCCGTGTTCAGAAGCACCACGGCCCGTAGAGCTCCAGCCTTTGCTGTTCTTCAGGGCTTTCAAACTTCACTTCAGGAGTTTAGGGCCGGAGCATGTGAAGCTCAAGACTTTCGGGTTCAGAGCAAAATGAGCTGCGCCAAGCTGCGGTTTCCGCCTCGGAGAAGAACTCCACGGCTTGGCCGGCCTTGAGTTGCAGAGGGGTGCCGGGAGTGCGCGTGCTGGTCGTCGTCACCATTGCTGTCATCACCATCGTTCTGCACATCTTCACCATTCGTAGCCCTTCTGTTGAGGTACAGGCCGGGCTCTGGTGCAGGAATGGATCTAATTCATGGATGCATGCTGTGCCGCAGTTTGAGACTAGGACCCCAAGTGCTCGCACTCGTGTAAACACGCAACACTTGCAGTCTGTTGGCTGAACCCTCTGCGAGGCCCTGGCCACTTGCAGCTGGGTGTGCTTTAGTCTGGCGCCATCCATGTGCACGTCTTCTGTTCCCAGACAAGAAAACGTCGACTCCTGCGGCATGGCACTTGATTCGAGTTCCCTCATCACCGAAGTACGGAAAGGATGGAAACCGGTTAGACCGAGACGATGCAAGCAGGCAAGACTACAGTGTGTGGGGACCGCATGCTTAGAGCAAGACGTGCAGGAGTCTCTGAAGGATGCACTGTTCCCTCGAGGCTCAGGACTCCAGGCATGCTGGGTGCCTTTGAAATGCTACGAGCCTAGGACCATCCAGGAGGACATAAACTTGCCACAAACAGTCCACGCTGCACTGCGCGTGCAAGTGCGCCAAGTACGCTCACATCGCGATCAGTCTCAAAAGCAGCTGTTTCAGAACGAAGCAGAAGTGCGACGTCGCCTCGCTCAGCGGCAAGACCAACTTCTTGTTAGTCAGGCCGGTGTACACAGAGACCTGAACAAGGCAAAAGCAAGTCCCGGCTAACTGATCCCAGGCCGACCTTCTGTCTTGCTGTGCTGCCCTGCGCAACTTCCCCACCCGCCCTTTGCATACCGAACCCCTGAACCTGACACCACCCCCGCTGGTTCTGTTACTCTACAGAAACAATGCCACCACGGCAGGCAGAAGCATGCATACACGGGACCTGCAAGGGCTGTTCTTCTGAAGACAACCGTGCTGCGAAGGCTTGCAGTGAAGCCTGGCCAAGCACGTGAGAGCAACGAATGGGGAAGGAGTTCCGGGCCAGGCTTTAGCCAATTTTGTTGATCACCTCTTTTCCGCAATGGAGTACTGGGTTGGAATGTCACGCTAGCTGACGCACTTCCAGGCGGGATTGCTCCGAGGATCCAAAAACATCATCTGCTCGACCCGAACTCCACATGCCCTGTCCCTTCGCCATGCAAAGCTTAGGATTCCGGGCTAAACGGTACTAGTATGGTGCTAAAAAATAAACACGCTCGCCTGCGTTGCCGCGGATGCGTCTGGATATGGCGCAGCCACCATGTCCTGCATGGTGGGAGTCATGTCATGACATGGCATCCTATGCGAGCCCACTGCCTCCAAGCACAAGTCGTCACACCCCTGTCGAAGCCCTGAATTTATGGCATACGGATTCCTGCTTGGATCCTTCAACACCGCAGCGGCAGCCCTGAAAAGCAGGTCCCCATCCTCCAAGACCTTCTCGGCTTTGCCATCGGCGTCCTTTGGAGGCGTCAGGTCTTCGACGCTTTCCGACACCGTTAGTTCGAAGACCCGCGGGTATCCAAGTCCGAGATGGTCAAAAACACAGATGGGACCGATGAAACTGACAGGTCTGCGTGCAGCGACGAGCAGCATTAGCTCTGCGATTCTTTCGGCTCCCATCGGATGCTCAAACGCAGTGAAGAACGAGAGTTAACGTCCTAAGATGGTGTTCTCCCCAGGCCTTGGCAATCAAGAAGTCTGCTGGCACCTGGCAAGCTGCCGGCAAGTCCAGCTGAGCAAAAGCAGCACTCTGCGCGATTTTCTGGCTGAGGACAGTGCGCCATCAGCAGCTGTCTTCTCTGCCATTTCTCGAAAAGCTGCTGTTGCGCTCTGGACCTTGGCGTGAATTGGGCGGGGCAAGATTCATTGCAGCAGTCCTGGTCCTTGCCCCCTCGGAAGCCGGCGCATTGAGCGCCATATTCCTGCAAGAAAGCCTTCATTGTAGCCTTCCAGGAAAGTTCGACGCCAAGCTGGGACGGTTTCCGCCTGCCGCAGCTGCTTGCAGCCTCCTCTTGCTCAGCAGCTCCCGATGCGAACTTGCCATTCATCGAGAAGCCCATGAAGCGCTGGCACAAGCGTTCGGAAGGCAAAAAAAAACAATGCCAAGACCATGTTTGGCAGTGTTTCAGACGACCGTATCCTGCAATTTCTCTGTGTCTGGCCTTGTCCGCTCCGACAGAGAAGTACAGGTACATGCCATAACCATGCATGAACCCATCTTTCCACCTCAGAGTCAGGCACGTTCAGACCCCCCAAGCAGGTCCAAAAAGCAGATGGTATCTTCCATCATGAAAGCTCCAACCCACCGCGCAGAAACCTCACATCCAGGCACAGACCATGCGTGAAGATGCTTGTACCATGCGTGGACGTCACTGCTGTGGAGCCCCGGACAAGCACAGAGTCGGTACAACTGGACTGTCACACGAGTTCCGTCGACGGTACACCTATTTGGCTGGGCCAAGAACCACCAGACCCAATCTACATCCCGTTACAACCGGAGCTTAGTCTGTCACCGACCAGTGGGCACACCCTGCCGGGTTCCAGACGCTCAGCAAACATGAACATGGTTCGGAACGCTGCTCTCTGAATCTGCATATGTGAGATCACCTTCTGTGTTTTTTGACATTTGCTCTGTTTTATGGGCAGCCGTTGCTCCACCTCGAAGCACGACCCAGAGCTTTCCACCTGTTTCAGGCTTTCGAGCCTGCCTATCTCGTGCCGGGCCTCAGGCGTGCCGCGATACTCTCGACCATCGGGCCACTTGTAGTCGCCAACCTCCAATGAGTGTTGTGATGATTTGAGACATGGTTTCGCGAACAGAAGCGCCAAACCCTGACAATGCAGCCAGAGCGCCCCATGGAATTGGTTCTTCCGAAAATGGCCCGTGTACACCTTACATCAGCCAGTGAGTCAGATTGGCTGAGACTCGGGGCCGTTGCAAACTCGATTTGAGATCCAGCTGTCGAAGTCACACAGGGACTTGGGGCAAAGCAGCACCGCTGCAGCTGCTGTAGCGGCCCATCTGGCTTCAGCTGTCTGGTCTTAAGGTCGTAGAAAGCTCGAAGCGTACTTGGCTCACTGACACTGCAGGGATGCTGAACACTTCATGCAGATCTCATGGTCAGATGCCACAAGCAAAACGCCGATGCAGGGCCACCTTGTACATGCCATTGTCGAACGAGCCCTGGCATGCATCACGGAAAAAGCATCCCAATGAATGCCCTGCTGATGAGGCATGTTGCGCATTGACAATGCGAAGTCAGAGGAATGCAAACCGGCTTGGAACGGCGGACTATTCACGGTTCAGGGTTTTAGGGTTTAGTGTTTAGGGTTCACAAGTATCGAGATGTCCACTTTGACATGAGCAGGAGTTTGCATGCACGATGAAGACTCTGCTGAACAAACTGCTGACATATGTCTCCGTTCGTCTGCAGAGTCGGTAGTCAGCGGTATGCCTTAAAGAGCGGAGGGACTACAGTAAGCAAGATTTTCCTTTGGCCTCGAAAGTTTGCGGACCACTTTGCAAATGGCCATCGCCGTGCATACATATTGACTCACCTGGCCAACAACGACCAACTAGATCGCTGCAGGAAAGCGCTTGCGAATATCTGAAGGCGCCTTTCTTCAGGTATTGCCCTGAGTATGTTGAGCCATCTGGAAACACCTGACGACAGCGTTGGCTACGTGTTGTCGGCTGTCATTTTCTTAAAGGAGAAGAAAGAAGTAGAAGTCGCCCGAGGACGTGGCGAAGTCTCCCTGTAAGATCTCCAGAGGAGGCTCTTCCTGGCCACGCACAACTGCCCAAAATTCTGCGCTGCGTCGAACCTTGAAGGGCTCCCCTAAAATTCCTAAGAAGTCCCTGAGCCCTGAGCCTTGACCTCCTCCTCCACAGGCTCGGCAGCCTGCAGGGAACACGGCAGCAAGAAATGCAATGCAGGTGCCCAGGGCACAAGGTCTCCTGAGGCTTCTTTGGCGGCATCGGGTCGCTGCCTCAGGCTTCTGGGTAGGCAAGACGTGGAGGCAGAGTGCAGGGCTCAGGCGGAACCTCGCCGCGGCTGCCCTCCCCGGCTCCCGGGCCCGTTCCCTGAGAAACCAAAGCGGCGAATGCACTCGACCTTCCACAAGCCTGCAAACACCAGCACAATCAGAACAACAAGCTTTGCAATGCATCTAGTAAGCCACGAGTAACAACTTTTTGAATGTGCACCTAAGGTCTCTGAAAGATAGACGCAGGACGTTTGCCCGTTGTCATGTCGAAAAACTTGGGCAGCTATGTCCGCCTTAGGCGTCCTTAGCGGCTGAAATGAAATCGTTGATGGTCTCCACGTAGAACTCCGGCTGAATCCCTTCCGTGCCCTTCTTGCGCGGCGCACGCTCCATCAACTCGTCCTCGGAGGTTACGCCAGAAAGCGTCAGGCAAGTCTTGAGACCGTTGTTGCGACCGAAGGCGATGTCTGTGTCCAGCCTGTCGCCGACCATGCAAATGCGGGAGCGATCCGTGATGCCGTACTTCTCCGCGATGTAATCAATCATCAGTGGGGCAGGTTTGCCAACGAGAGTGGGCTCGCGGCCGGTGCAGCCAGAGACTGCTCCAACCATCGTCCCGTTTCCAGCCCACTCCTGTGCGTCGGTGAGGTGAGTAACACGGTCCAAGTTGGTGGCGATGAACTCGCAGCCCGGCAGCTCATTCAAGCACAACTGCGCGTACTGCAACTTGTAGTAGTTGATGTACCGGTCGAAGCCAACCACCACTGCGCCTACGTCGTGGTCAATCTCCACCCTGCCGCCGGGACCCATGTCAGCCTTTTTCTCCTTGTCTGTTTCACCACCCAGCCAGGAAACCCCAATTGCATCCAACTCTTCGCTGATGCCCTTCTCTCCGATGATGTAGACCTTCTTGCCTGTGTCTTTGAACTTGGTCTGTTCTAGATACGCCGCAGCGGCAAAGGATGAGGAGAAAATCTCCTCGGGCTGCACATCCAGACCAAGGGAAGTGAACTTCGACTTGTAACCCACGCGACTCTTGGTTGAATTGTTCGTCACGAAAAAGATTTTCTTACCGGCGAGGCGGAGCTGGTCCAAAACGGATGGGACTCCATCGATGAGAGAGTCGCCTCGCCAAATCACTCCATCGCAGTCGAAGATGAAGACGTCGACATTCGAAAGAAGCTTGGACGGCTCGTCCAACTTCGACGGTCCGGACATCTTCACGCCTTTCCGGGTATTTTGTCGGAGTTGTGCCTAGTGGAGATCCTCTGATTTTCAGGGAAGTAGTCTCTACACATGAGTCAGAGAGCATTCGTTGAAGTCTTGGGATGCTTGTGCAAAGCTAGAAGCAGCTTGAGCTCCAGGCAGGGACAGAAGCGTGGAAGCGTGGCCCCTTCGAATCGTGGCTGGCGGCTGGTGCAAGGGGGTCGGCTTCAGACGACCACACGGCCACTTTGCTTCTCGCATGCGCAGTCTCAGCCTGTCCTGTCAAGCATCAGCTTGATCAGAGGACTGTGGAAAATCGTTTGTACAGTGCAGAGCACAATGTTTCTGTGCTCACGAGCCAGAGTCCATGGAAAACTCTGCCACATGCTCTTAAATCCTAACGTACACTGTTGCCTCTAAGCTTTGGAGCAGCATTGGGACTTTCGGTTAAGGAAACTAGGGGTTTACGGTAGGTTTTCCCTCCCTTAGAGGGATCCTTTAATTTTTGATGAAGGGATTTCCAGCTGCAGGCGAAGGAGGAGCAGCTGGAGGAGGAGCTTGCCCGGAAGAAGGAGCCTCAGAGCTGCCGTCAACGAGATTCGCTTTGAAAGGCGTTGTTCTTGCGAGCTCTATGGAAGGTTTTGATGCGGACTTTAAATTTTACATGTCGGATGGCCTCTATGTCATATATGAGCTTTTCTACGGGTCCGAAGTCCCTTAAAGTCGAAGAGGTGCTGTACTGTCCCTAAAGTATGCCTCCCAAAGACCAAATTTAGGGAGAGCACAGCACTTTTGAGTTTGCAGGGCTCAAAGTGCTTTACTGTCCCGAAAATGTTCCTCTCAAAACCCCAGATTTACAAATAGTTAGGCACATGGGCACAACAGCAAGGAAGCAAGAAAGCAAATCGCGCAGATTCAGGATGCTATGTGTCACCTGGAAACTCCCGCGAAGAAATCGTTGATGGTCTCCACGTAGAACTCCGGCTGAATCCCTTCCGTGCCCTTCTTGCGCGGCACACGGTCCATCAACTCGTCCTCGGAGGTTACGCCAGAAAGCGTCAGGCAAGTCTTGAGACCGTTGTTGCGACCGAAGGCGATGTCTGTGTCCAGCCTGTCGCCGACCATGCAAATGCGGGAGCGATCCGTGATGCCGTACTTCTTCGCGATGTAATCAATCATCAGTGGGGCAGGTTTGCCAACGAGAGTGGGCTCGCGGCCGGTGCAGCCAGAGACTGCTCCAACCATCGTCCCGTTTCCAGCCCACTCCTGTGCATCGGTGAGGTGAGTAACACGGTCCAAGTTGGTGGCGATGAACTCGCAGCCCGGCAGCTCATTCAAGCACAACTGCGCGTACTGCAACTTGTAGTAGTTGATGTACCGGTCGAAGCCAACCACCACTGCGCCTACGTCGTGGTCAACCTCTACTCTCCCGCCGGATCCCATGTTGGGCTGGTTGTCCTTGTCCGCCTCAGCCCCAAACCATGGGACACCGATAAGATCCAGCTCTTCACCAATTCCCTTCTCTCCGATGATGTAGACCTTCTTGCCGGTCTGCTTGAAGTTAGTCTGTTCTAGATACGCTGCAGCGGCAAAGGACGAGGAGAAAATTTCCTCTGGCTGCACGTCCAGACCAAGGGAAGTGAACTTGGACTTGTACCCGGCTCTGCTCTTGGTCGAGTTGTTGGTCACGAAGAAGAGCTTCTTCCCCCCTGCTCGCAAGTTTTCAATCACCTGAGGAATTCCTGGGATGACGGAGTCTCCACGCCAGATCACTCCATCGCAGTCGAAAATGAAGATGTCGACGTTGTCCAGGATCTTACCAGGGACTGCCAGCTTCTCTGCCTTGTTCATCACGGCGGTTGCACGGCACACCGTGCCGTTTCGCCTCTTCCCGAAGCGGCTGGCTTTCAGTCCAGAAGCCACCGCAGCGGCACCCAAGGCTGAAGCACAGCTGCTTAGGAGCAAAGCACCGTTTTGGGTCTGCGTCTGACTCCGGGCCTTCACGGCCGCTCCTCGCAGCTGGGCCGGTTTCGAAGCACTGCCAATCACAGCGAAAGCCACCGGACTGAGTCCAACAGCTGGAGACGCCATTCTTGCTGCCATGGGGATAGGTTGGCAATCAGCTACGGGTTCTTGAGGCCAAAAAGGGCCCACGATAACCCAAAAACTCCACATGCAACACTGAATCTCACAGCGCGCCCCTGCTATCGGACATAGGTTACGGACAGGCCAGCCTTTTGCCGGTGGCAGTGTCTAACGTGCCCCTAGACACCCTACCACATTCCCCCATCAGTGCAGAAAAAATCCGGAAGTTCTGTCAAACATTCAATGCCGAATTTGCCGTCAGCAGCTCTGCTGCTTCCAACTCGCGACAGAGCATCTTCAACCAACGGCGGAAGTACCGAGCGTGGATTGACACTGCGGTACTCACAGCAGTGAAACGAGTCGCGATCCGCACTCGAGATCATCTGTTCTCCTCCAGGAGGCATTGAATGCCGGCACATTACTGAGGCACAGCTGAGACCTCATCGGTTTTCTGGATCGACGAAGATGTCGAAAGAGTACCTTCAACAATCGATTTCTAGCTTCTGAGGCAACTGGCAACTGACAACCGGCCTTCCACCTTCATTAGCTGCGATGCGCTCATCCAGCAGCTCCCCCAGATTCTGTGCAGCAGCATAAATTATCTAGCGGCGGGTGTGGCGGTGAGACACGTCACGGAAACGGGAAGCAATGCCTTCTCCCGCTGCTCCTTCGGAGGGGATCCCTCGGAAGAGGGAGGTGACTGTGCGTCCGGAGCCTGCGCCTGGCAGTCGCCAGAGATTTCAGAAGCCTCCACGTCTGAGAACCTCGAACCTCTCTCAGACCGTGCCTGACCGGCAAGCTCCTCGGGGACATCCAAGGCAAGCTCCTAGTCGCCAGCTGTTTCGGTGGCACGTCTTATCGAGTTGTGGCGTGAGCGGGCCTGCAGCACGTTCCCCAGCTCCAGTGCTCGCCGCCCGGGGACCCAACCGGGGGAACGCATCACCCGAGCTGCAGGTTCCGGAGTTGAGACCTAGCAGGCTCGAAATTCTTGTGTCAAGCCGGAAACGACACAAAGATGGACCCGGGCAGTCATGCGTAGTCCGAAGTGTGTTGTGTGTGTGTGTGTGTGTGTCCCCAGATAGCGAAGCTATACGAACCCAAAGGAAACGATACAGTGAAACCGCGAAGCAGATAGCAAGCCGGGGCCTCCTCCTGGTCAAGCCCGGGAGGCTTGTTCTCGATGTCACTGTCCTGTGGCCGAACCCGCCCCCATGCCTTCGAAACTTCTTGAAACAAGTGCCAGCATGGCTCCTGCACAGTGGATCCGGTGCTGCTGTCCGTCTCGTTTAGTCGGAGCCTCCTGCCCTGCGATTCCACTTGCAAACCGGATGCTGTCCAACGCAACCTTGCGACTCAGCACTTGTCGGAAGCCTCGCTGATCGGCGTGAGGCGGTCACTCTGCTCATTGTGCTCAGCTGGGCTGGCCTTGGGAACTCAGCAAGTTGTCGACATCTGCTGGGGCGCAGCAGTCTTACGCGGGCTGAGTTAGCCGCGGCCGATCGGTGTCTGCGGCGAGGCGGCGTCTGTAGGAGGGTCGTCGGCGCAGGAGTCGGAGTCGCATCCATCGAAGAACTGCACAGGAGGAGAGCTTGAAGCTTGAAGACCAGCACAAGAGGGCACGTGCTGTCAAAGCCAGAGAGGATTCTGGTGAATTTTTGATTGCATGTTCACAGAGTCTTTCGAACTTCTGCCTTGCCAGGTCATTCCAGAATAGGAACCCTTCGTCTACGCTCCGCCATCCCGACGAAGGCTGCCCGGTGCAGGAGGCTGGAGTGTCTTGTCTCTGCGAAGGGCCGAATGTGGTCCAGTTCACGTTCTTTCAGACCTCAAGCTTTCAGCGCTATCTAAGGGCTGGGTCCTGAAAAAGACTAGCACTGCTCGTCTTCAATTCACTCTTGGATACATTCACAGCATCAATGCTGCATCCGAAAGGATTCACAGAGTCACCGTGTTAGTTCACCTCCTTCATTTCGATAGTAGAACGTCATGGCGACTGTTCGTCCACTGAAACGGGAGGTAGCAGTTTTCTGAGAAATGTTGATGCAACGAAGTGGCCCGACATGCTGTTGTGATTCCGGTTCGGAAAGCAGGATGTGGCAATTTGAAACAGGCACCAACAAGCAAAAGGGAGGAATCATACCGCTCCGAAGCTTCGCACTTGCTGTTGGATGACAAGAGAAGCCTGGCAGAAGACTCTGGCGTTCGAAACCTCAAGTGCGAACTTTGCCCGATCTCCGTCAGTGCAGGCCCAACGGACGGCAGTGACTGCTATGGCATCACTCAGCACTCTTGCTGCATGATTCTCGAGAGGCTGGCTCATCGTCCACAAAACAAGCTTCATCAGCCGGACGTTTCCGGTGGCGGGTGTACCTCGGTATGAGATTCTCGAACCGCCTTAGCTTTGAGATGTCGCCCCTCTTCCTTCTCCTTCACCGCCTTGCGCACACATCTTCCCCTCATGCCCTTGAGGGCGTACCCGGTGGGTGTCGTCGCGCCCAGGGAGCCAAAGCCTCACGCGCCGCGACGCCGAACACTAATCTATCAATATGTCGGGCTGACCACAGAGCAGCCTACAGCAAAGTGAAGGCTCATACAGAAGGGTTTAGATTAGAGTTTCTGCAACCGTTGCCTCGGAAGCTATCTCCGGACCTCTGCCGCCATGCGAGCACACGGATTCTCTCGAAGAACTCACTGGCAAGACGCTGACAAGGTCCCGACGTGCGCCCACCGAAACCGCCAAAGTCTGCTACGCTGAGGCCAAACCTTTGGAGATCCCGAACAAATCAGCAGTTCAAAGGTTTTACGCACCGACGGATACCAGTGTCGGATCCTTCAACGAATCGAGCAAGTTGATGACGCATGGGAACTTTGCAACATGCTTGATACGCAGCCAAAGTTAGCTTGGGATCGAACTCACGCACTGTGGTCTTTGCTGCCTTCATTTCGCTTCAGCACAACTTCAACGGTAGGACTGGATGGAAAACACTGGCAACCCCCTGTGCCAACAGGCCTCCGGATTGGCGACATTTTTAGAGGACCTTCAGAAGCACTTAAATCGTGTTGGCCCACACTTTTCAGCTGCAGGGTCCCGACGTGGACATTGCTTCATCAGGCACTTCGTTCTCTTGTAGTGTCCGCGCTGTCCCTGACGTCGAGGCATGTCTCAAAGCTGTCGCCCTGGTGTGACTTCGTCCGGATCCTGCTCCAATCGGCCGCAGCACACCATGTTGACTGCGCAGCCAGGATGCAGAATGAGAGAGATGCATACAACAACGGAGCAACACAGCTATCAAGGCGCCTCATGGCCAGCTTTTCTGGGGGGTGAACCCCTTGAGCCCCCCTTTCCGAAAACTGCAGAGGTACAGTTTCGGAAGGAATGCTTCAGGTTTCGGGTGCGATCGCGAAAGCGACTCTGCCAAGGCCGATTCGCTTCTTTTTCCAGGCTGAGGCTGCAAAACCCCTGCAATCCCAGTCCCCCCAAGCTCCCCATATGGGCCCCTACCACCGGGCCGAGCCTCAGGCCGAGCCGCTCTGAGTCCAGCCGCTCGGGCCCTTCCGGAAGAAGCCTCGGTGAGAAGCGAAAGCCGACCTGCCATGTCCGAAGCGCTGAGGAGAGCGCGTGCTCGAGCCTCCTCCGTCTCGTCCTCTAGAGAGCTTTGCTGCAATGGAAGAAGAATCCGCGTTGCTCGACGGCTCGGGAGGCGCCTGCATTCTCTGCAGCTCGGCGTTGATCTGCTGCTGCCTCAAAGACAGAGCACTGAGGCACTGAGCGCATCAAGGCGGCGGGTCCAATTTCAGAGGCCCAGACGCTCCCTGGATAATCCGGGCGGCTGCTTCGCGGATGACAGCCTGGACCGAGTCAGAGCCAGGTTTGCGCGGGAGAGTCTGAGATTCGAAGGCCTCCTGATGATGGGCAGCGCTCGGCTCACCTCCACTCTCGCTTGCTCGACACTTGTAGAGCAGAAGACATCTCGCAGGGCACACACCAGTACAAGTTGAGGTGGCAGCAAGGATCCAGCTGGCAAAGCTTCTTGAGCGCAGACTCGACCATGGAGATTGGCGACTGCGCCTTACATCGCTACAATCTTGGCCCTACGTGAACTTCAGCTGTGGCATCGCAATGAACAAGGCATGGAGCAGCCCAAGCTTCAGGCGACCTCTTCAACCTTGGAGAGGCCAACCTGCTGACAAGTGATGTGCCAACGCCCGGCTACGCACGGTGGCTTGTTCCTTTCGATAGATCCCGCTACAGCAAACGGCATTTTCGCCGGTCCTGCAGCAGCGCCCTTGCTCGCGCGCAGTGGACCTGTGCTGACACAGCCCCCTTCGACAGCGCTTCCGCATGCTGCAGCAGGCTGCAAACTGCTGTTGAGGCTTGTCTGCTTGCCACGCAACGCCACCTCTTGCTGAGTCCCCAACTCCAGGGATGCGGCACAAAGGCAGTGCCTCCAGTGGAGCTCTGCCAGAACAATCGCAAAACCTAGTCTTGCAAAATCTTCGACCTCCGTCGCAGCACCGAAGTTTAGGCGCGGCATGAGGCAATCGAACAGTGCAGCCTGCAAAACACGCCACCGACCAGACTGGTACATGTGAAAAGGAATCGGCTACAAGCTGAATGCGTCGATGGGGCACCATGTCATTCCAGTGCACCCTTTCGCACAACTGGCGTACCTGGCCAAGCCGGTCATCACAGTCTCTCGTGACCGGATGAAAGGGCCCGGCCATTCCGCAGTAGGTGGCTGCAATTCCCTGCAACGCCTGCCTCGGGTATGGAGCACATGAGTTCGACCGTCACACAGCAGAAAGCCAAGGTCCAGACAGCGAGCCCCTCGAAGCTGCAAAGGCACTGGCAACTCCTCGACGCAAGTCCATGCTGGAATCAAACCTCCTCAGAAAGACTTGGGCCGCCACGAGCAGGCGGATTCTCAGCAGCAAGTTCTCGCAAGGCAAGAGCTGCCCAAAACCGTCGATGCCTTTGCAATGCTCAGCAGTACATACAGTATCCTATATGAACTCTTTCGGGCACAGCTTTTTCCGCCCCCCAAATATTGATCCCACCCCCTAGGTCCAGCGAGCTTTTCTTCCACCCCGGACCGATCCTGACTTGTCTAGATTCTGTGAATTTTTCAGTTCCATCTCTGCTACTTATACTTCTTGAATTGAAGTTCCGTGGCTGCCGCCCCGATCCCAAGACGGGGGATCGGAATGGCATCAAGATTTGCCTTGTTGGGCACGTTTCAGGACGTCTGGGCTAAACAGAGTTTTTCGAACGGTCGTCGTTTGTTCTGATGTTGGTAAATCAAACACTGTAAGGATCGGTGGTGGGTATGTGCGTGTCAACGCAGCTCTTGCAAACATGATGCTCGCATGATGGGCTTGGAGAGAATTCATCTGTTTTCAAGCAAGCACCCATGATGGGTTTGCAAAAACATGCTTTGAGGCAAGTTTGCATTGTACGTTGGAGAGAGCGCGGTCTCCCCGATCTGCAACAGGATGCTCGCAGGATGGGTTTGAGGAGAAGAATTTCATAAGGAGGGGCGCGGACCGCCTCCCACCATTTGTAAGCGCACCGCTCGCATGATGAGCTTCGCAAGGATTCGTATGTTTTCGAACAAGCATGAACGCTTGATTAAACTGCCGACGCTCGCGCGATGGGCTTGGAAGATGCTTGGAACGGATTATTTATGTGCTTTCAAACAAACCCGCGCGCTTGTGAACCCTCTCGCAATGGGCTTGCACAGAAGGCTTCATATTTTGAAGTAATTAAGCTTCCGCGGCTCCTAGCGGGGGTTGGGGGTTGCGGCTCTTGGGTTGCTCCTGACTCCACCTCCGGGATTTCCCAACGGCGACAACTTTTTCACGGCGCCAGTGCTTCATTTTCGTGTCTGCAACACTTTGCCCCAGCTGCGGGTGCTCGCATGATGGGTTTGGAAAGGAACGCTTCATATTGCAGCATGCTTTGGAGCATTCGGCAGGGATCCGAAAGCCGGGCGGGGGGAAATGCAACGTGCGCATGATGGGTTTGGAAACATTGCAGAAGAATGTTCGGCAAGCCTGGCGGATCGCCTGTGCTCGCTCTTTTGATGCATTCTTACACGCCATTTCCTGCAGCGCAGCAGCCTCTGCAGCAGGAACCTGTTGCGGTCACTTCTATGCAAAAAACACCAAGATTTCGGTTTCCAGTGAACCACTCTTTCGCAACATAGCTGGCAGAGCTAACTCATGTCACCAACTGCACCAACGGACGCCGGGCTCGCATGGGCTCGCAAACAGTCGCACTGTAGCTGACCCTTCCGGTTAGATTGGGCAGATGCTGCGTGCATGTGGCAGGATGTGGCAGGCTCCACCATCTAGTATTTTCGCTAAGTGAGACGAACACGTGCAAGCCATCTTCCCATGTTGTCTGGCAGCGGCCACGAGCCCTCCTGGCTGCAATGTTCTTTGCTTCTGGAGAATGCTGCAAGCTGCGGCAGAGACATGTCCCATTTCCGCAGGATAGCATGTTGCTTGGCACTTGTGTCAGGATCTGCGGGCGTCAGGTTTACCCAGATAGGCGCGCCCCAAGTGGATGTGTGTGCGGCTTCCCTGCTGGCTTGCATCGCGCTGCGTCTGCGAAGACCCACGCATACACTTTTCTGCGATGCAGCGACGGCATGGCTTCGAACTGCACTCGAATCACTACATGTTTCGACGCATTGCCTTCAAGCCATTAATCATCTGCTGCGTGCTCTGGCTCCTGCCAGTTGTCGGCTAACAGCACATGCAGCGCCGGACGCACTTGTGCTGTGGATACTGTCACGGATGTCGCTTCAGCATCCCTGCCGCGCGGGGCTTATGGGCGCCCCCTTGCAAGCACATGGCACGTGCGCCTTACAGACGGCGCTTCCGTGCCAAAGTGAGCTTCCGGCAACACAAAATTTCACGCATGTCCAATGCTGAGTCTGGCAGCGGAAATGCAAAGCACGGCCGCTTCTGAAAGGATGTTACGTGCCACCAGTTCTGTGAAAGGTCCGTGATGGTCCGTGACGACAATGCCCGGCGGCAAGTGCCATGTCACATTTAAGCAGAGCGTGATCATGGCAGCCCAGCTACCCGTATCGCGCGACCCTCCCAGAGGCCGCCGACAGCAAGGTTCGGGCCAGATTCCGTGACTCGCATTCTTGCTACAACATCGATGGGGGTGACGTCCATGCACGAAAACAAATTCACTGGAGGCTCGACGAATCGAACCAAGGGCTGAAATACCGCTGCTTCCACACTCACCTCGCCGCGATTTGACAGCTGCATCGGCATGCCGGAGCCGCACTAGCAATACTAGCAGCACTAGAAATACTAGCAATAGTAGTTGTCATTCTGCGGTGGGGGCAGAAAAACCGGGTGGCGGGGGCTGAAACAAAGAGGGAGGGGGTTCGAACAATTGCTTTTCCGTGTTCAAGAACAGCTGCCGGGGGTTGAATAATTAAGAGCTTTTCAATGGGTCCAAAAAAAATCCTCTTGAGGTCAAACAAAGGCTTTTACAGGGGCTGCAAAACAAGCTCGGGGGGCGGGGCGTGGGGGTGGATTGAAAGCTGGGGGGTGGAAGAAAAGCCCAAGCGGGTGTAACAAAAGACTGGCCCAATTGCTTCTGATTGAAGATTCTTCCACTGAGACGGCGGCAGGGCCGTGACGCGCTCGCGGTCCTGCGAATGCGAACCCTTGTTTCAGCAGTTCTTCCTTTAGTAGTGCCATCAGGAGGCTGGTCTTCCTAATGGTGGCTATGATGACGATGGGGATCATCATCATCAGCAGCAACACCACCACCACCATCGACACGACCTCCGCAAGCATCTGCATCACCATCGTCGCCAACATCACGATCAGCATGGCAACGACGACGACGACGACGGCGACCGCAACCACGACCACGACCACAACAAACACAACCACAACCACAATCACCACCACCACCACCACCATCGCCGCCAAGATCACAAGCAGCAGACTGCCCCCGATGAGCAAACGGCCCCTGGCTACGGCTCCCACAGAAACTGCTCTCCTGGCGCCAGTCGCCGCTGCTTCCAGGGAGCGGCCCGCGGTGCCCCATGGACTGCAGCAGGAGCAACGGAACCACGAGAAACCCCATCGAATCTGTGCCCAAGGAAGAGTCATGCAGGACGGCTGTGAATTCTTGTCTGCTTGGCGCAACCATCCAGGCGAAGCAGTTCGGAACACCCCCTCTTTAGGCCTGCTTCAACAGAAAGTGATGTGAGACTCCGACGGCATCAGAAACAGCCTCGGGCCACATTCGTCAAGAAGCTAGACATGCCTTTTGACTGTTGCTTTTGAAGCTGAAGCTTGGCCCTTGACACGATCTCTGGACTGGAGTCGCTCGTAATAACTCAGGTATCTTGCCCAGTCCTTAGAAGGAGGCAGATGCACATCCGCAAGAGCAAGCATCTCCAGTTGTGCCAGACAGTTACTTCTCAACTCATCCCTCTGAACCATTAGCAAGCTGGGAGCATCCGCGGGTGTTTGCAAGGCAACTAAGGTCTTGTCCGGCTCGATGGTGACGGACGCTGCCGGTGTGGCCAGGAAGATCAAATGCAGGTCGTTGTCCAGACCTCGCAAGACAAAAATCAGCCAGAGGCCGGACAGCTTCTCTTCACGAGCCGCGGGCAGAGACACTTCCGGGCTCTCTGAAGATCTGAGAACACACTCAATGCCTTCGGCCCACATCTCTTGCGGAATCTGTCAATGCTGGATTTGGTCGAAACGACCTCCTCGGGCTTCAGGGCGGAATGGACGATGCCATTGCCGAGAGGAGTTGACCGAATTGTGGCCTTGCACTGCAACCCCTGCCTTGGATCTCATGCTCCACGGTCCGGCCTGTGGCGAATACACCTCCGTGCCTGGGCATGCGACATGCATGGCCATGAGGCCAACTCTGCTACACAGCAACAGGCTGGCCTTGGCTTTCGGGTTCGGAGCTGGCGATGCTGGGATGGCCCTTTCCGCACACCACCGAAAATCCGAGAGTTTTGCAGCATACCTCTCAAGTGACCGGGATCTAAGCTGGCCACATAGGGGTCGTCCACTTCGACAAGCTGCTGCGCCTTGCACTGCACCAGGCATTCCAGCTCCCACAGACATGGAAAGGCTACAGCACGGAAGAACCGACGAGCCTTCAATGAACAGAGTGCCGAACGTAGGTCTTGCAGCAAACTTGCCGGAACAGCCTGAGAGAGTCGTGGCGGGCCAGCTGTGGACATCTGCGAACATGAAGGAATCAGGAAAGCCGTCTTAAAGGCATCTGCTACGTGTCGGTGACTACATGAGCAGCCTGTGTCAGCATGGCCAGATCTTTCGAAGCTGCGAACCCCGTGTAAATTGTATGGAGCGCGGCCATCACACCCGGACTGCTGCATGTTGAGGACCTGCAGCGGACCCTGACTCATCTCGACTTGTCCCACTGAGCAGCTCTTGTCCGAAGCTTACCTTCATCTGCCACCACCGTTTTCATGATAGTGACGATGCAATAGTAAGAATGATAATTGATAATGACGCCGACAATGATAGCCATCACGATTGTGCACGTGTGGCGGCGGTGGCAGCAGTGGCGGCCACGTTGGCAGGGCGGCGTCGTTGGTAACGGGGAGGGGAGGGGGGTGGGGTGGCGGCGGCGGCGGCGGCGGCGGCGGCGGTGGTGGTGGTAGTGGAACTGTCAGGGCATCAGACTGGCATCAGGAAAGCGGCATGTTGGTCCTCGTGCTTAAGCCGACGAAATTGCACAAACCACCTAAGGCTGCCAACGCTCCCTCTCGCAGTGAATAGGTCCATAGGTCGTTCATGTTGAGCACGACAGTCGGGAGAGGTACAGGTAGGCCTCCTACATGCCTGTTGGAAACACTGGGATCATGAGCAAAACGCTCGTTCCTGCTATCTCCTGCTACAGAAGCCCTCTCGTTTCAGAAGGCTGAGGACAAGGACATGCTTGATGCAACAGTGACCCTAAAGCCTTGAAACCTTGAGCACAGTCCACTCACAGCTGAGAACCCAGCCACTCTTCGCAACAGCGGAACAGCTTCCTGAGCACTCTCTGGGCAACTCTGCAGCTGAGACGAATTGCCGCGCCTTGCAAAGCGTACTTCGAGCTCTTCCACCGTGCGGACGAGTCCGAGACAGATGACCTCCAGCACTGCCCTGACCTGGGTCACTGAAGGCCACGCCAGGTAGCCAGTGTCACGAGAGGTTTCCACACCGAAGAGCTGACTAAGCGCTCCTTCCCCAAGGCAGACCTGACTTCCACAAGCTGAGCTTTGCATTGCCCTACCGCTTCTGACGGAATCATACAGCACCCAGACGCAAGGTCTGGTCTAAAGCAACGCTCCCAGGATCCTAAGCCTGATGCCGCAGCGGCTGCAGCTGGGCAGCGAAGAGAGCGCGAGCCTGTCAGCTGCTGTCAGCTGTCAGCTGGAGACCTCTTCCCCGATGCCATACACGACCACGAGTACGCAGCTGGCCTCGTCGGCTTCTTTCAGCGTTCGCGCCATCACGATGCACTCTCCCTGGCCGGCAACGATTCCACTGCCAAAGCGTCGAGTTGAGATCGCAGCCTCGGTATCGAAGCCCACACGTCCTGCGCGCCTAGGCAAGATGCCGAAGGTTACGAAGCCGAGTTTGGTGAGCTGTGAAGCTGAGATCTGTTCCCTGCCATTTGTCTGAACCGGACAGCATCTAGAGGATCTCTTCCAACCTGCGCGGAACGATCTTCAATGCTGTTGAGCTATGCATGCCTCCTTGCGGAACAAGGCAAGTGATGTGCAACTCGCGTGGGTCGGAAGATCAAGCAGAATGTCTGACCGTCTGAGGGGTGTGGTTACTCGCAAGGGTTTGAAAGATCATCTCTTCCAATATGTCAACTCGACGAGGCTTGAGATTCACAAGCCTTTCCCTTCGCTTAGCGATTGCTGGACCTGTGTCGGAAGGCTAAGGAAAGCCGCCTTCATGGAACGAATGATGACACGCCGAGCTGGAAGATTCACCTGGGAAGCGCAGCACAGCCAGGCACAGGTCTGCAGCAAACTTGGAGAGAAAGGGTCTGGTGCGGATGGTGCGGCGTCGATATGCGTCGATGACTGCACAGCACCGCACGGAATGCTCCAAAGGAGCTTAAACCTGATTTGGAACGGCGTTTACACAGGCACCCGGTGTTGAGTGCCGGGCTCCTGCAGCCAGAGTTGACGTGGCACAAAGACAGCCTCGGATGCGCAAGCACATGGCCTGGACTTCTTGTTGCTGTTAATCAGCACCGAGTGGCGCAGGACTCCTTTCCGGTAAGCTGCCTCCAGCAGAGCGCGCTCGTCTGTTGTGAGGCCTGTCAGAACAGACCTTGAAATGGCACTCTGTAAGGAAATCGCCGTGCCTGCATGGTGGTAGGCAACGCCGTTGAGCCTACAGAGCTTGCTGCCGCGAGTGTAGCTTGTAAATAAGCACGACGTCAGTGCCAGACACTTTCAGCACTCGCTGGGAGCTTGGCACAGTCCGAGCAAGGATTGGGCACAGGCCCGAATGCCTGAGGCCATAGTTTTCGCATATGCCCTGCGCCTCTGCAAACATGTCTGTTCTGCGTTGGCTGTGATTCAACCAGGCCCTCCAGGAATGAGGCAGCGGTGCATTTCAACCGTCAGAATTTGACGTTGGTATGGACAGCACACTTCGCGCGTTCCACGACTGCCGGCTCAGATGTCTTCACTAGGGACATCAACGACTTAGCCTGGAATACTTTATCAATTGAGTGGAAGCAGGATGGCCTGCAAGCTTGCATGGGGCTGTGAGCTTGGGCTCCGGCGTCTGCTTCAATTCCTCGACGAGCTGCAGCCTAGCAGCTGCTGTCTTACTGATCTGTTTGTCACAAGCTCCACTGGCTAATAGCACGCGGGTGCAAGTATCCAGCCGCTTCAAGCAAAAAGACGGATCGGCTGACATTCTTGCAGTACGACACACTGGCTTACTTCTCTGTGCAAGCCGCATCTACTTGAATGTCAGATCATGCGTGTCTCGTCACCATGCTTCTTCTCGGGCCGGCAAGGCCAAGACAGAAGAAGGCAGGCAGCCGAAGCTGCTGTCACTGCTGATGGCCCCCACTAAGGCCAACACCTCTGACCTTGACCCTGTTGATCTGCCTGATATGAGGACAAGTGCGCATAAGGGCTTTTGGAGAGTTCGGAGCTGAAAGTGCGCACTCTCTGTGCGGACTACATGTACAAGCTCAGACCTCGATCCTATGCACTTACGCGGTTGTAAGGTCGAAACGTTGGTGCGACCTTGCATCCGGTGACTGCTCCCAGACTTGCAATCGGATACATGTGCGGAGGAGGGTGAGCGCCTGAGTTCTCCTTCTCCAGCTGATCCAGACGAGGCATTTCATCAGCCAGCAAGGCTGCGGCTTTTTCGCACCAATCCTGAGCACTCCGGGTAGGATCTGCTTTCCGTCCCTTGTTAGATTACTGTTGTGCCATGCTTTGACGGGGCACAAGCAATCCGGATTTGACTGGTGTTTCTGGTTCTTAACCCGCTGCGGTCACTTCCCTTCCACGAATAGTTTCCCTTTGCACTTTGCGGGTTGCCGCTGATTACGTGACCGGCGTTGCAGCATTTCTTGACCGAGGCGAATAGTCAATCGTATGCATATCTTTCTCAGCTTCCTTCGGGAGCCAGTTTTGGGCACTCATCGGGATCGAAAGCGGCGCTCGAGATTTTGTAGCCAATACCCCGTCCACGAGCAGCCATATTCGAAATGCGGCATGGCTGTCACGTGCTCCGGAGACCATGTGCGCCAACACAGCACACAAGAACACCAAGTCGCCGGCCTTTGTCGCACAGAACACGAGGACAGACTGCTGCATTGAGACACACTCCTTCCAAAATCCAAGGGCATTCACCACTTCCGCAGCTCTCAGTTACTGCCGATGTCCAAGGCCCGCACCCACACCAAGGGCACAAGCCCGTCTGGGTCGCGGTTGTTTCTCGGGAGAGGCCGGCTTGCCTCCATCCACCAGGCTTGCAGAAAGCAATGCCAGCTGCAACACGGGAGTTAACACAAGTGTTCTGGAGACGCTCGTGCTAGCTCCGGCCCCAGATGCGTCCTTGCTCAGCCTGCTACGGTTTTGCAGTAAAGACAAGTTCGAGAGCTAAACATCACCCAGGCCGCGTAAGCCCACACACGACAGCACGAGCGCAGTAACGGTGCCATCGCGCGTCTCAAGAGCCGAGGAAGGTTTCCCCGGCGGCACAGGTCAAGGGCAAGATCTGCTACGAGGAACGAACTTTTCAAAGACGCGGGTGCCTGCAGGCTCGAGTCCTGGTGCAAGACCTCGGACTCGTCTGGCGGAAAACCAGTGCTCAGAGCGAAGTGCTGAGGTCCAGGCCTGGCCCTTCATGGCAACAGACAGGCTGAGAGGCACCGGTCGATCGTCGCTGACGTAGAGTCTGGCCCCCAGCCAGTCCTGGAAGAGGGCTCCAAGCTTCGAAAATGATGCGCAGCGATCCCATGACGGCAAAACACGGTCCGCCAGCAGCCGCACGTTTGGAAGCGTGGCTGACATGCCGACAATTTGCAGACCTGCACCTGGCACTCGAAGAGGTCGCAGTAGCGTGCTTGGAACTCAAGCAAACAAGACAAGTCTGCCACCACCTGCATCTGCAGCCTCAGCTTCAAAGACTCCCCACTCAATGACCCCTAGTGTCTAGCTATCGATACGAGTATTTATCCACAAGGATGGTGTCAGTCGAGGCTTCGGCCATAGCTGCACTCAGCCTTGCCTTGACCAGGATGAGCTCCAACAGATAGCCCCGATGCTCCTTCACTCGAACTGCTACACAGGCGGAACTGAGAGATCTGCACCCTTGGCTCGGGCCTCCCCCAGCAGGTGCATTTCGTCGACGACAATCTTGGAATCCGTGCGACAAAAGTCGGACCAACACAGCAATTCAAGCGAAGACCCCATGACGCTAAATGAGACCTCTACCGGTGGCAATTTTCTACATGTCTGTCCCATGAAGTGCCTCTGGTCACTGCTCTCACATGAGCTCTCCTACCACTCGCGGCACCAATGGAAGCTGCATCACTTCATCCAGGCAGCTACGCCGATGTCACGGAGAAGCGCGTCTTCCTGTGATGCTCCGACAGTCTCCGTGTGACGGAGTCATTTCCCCAAAAGGATAGGCGGTGCTGGCTTGCTACAGCGGTGCAGCCTCCAGCAGGCGATTGAGCAGGGCGCTGGCTTTCTCAATGGTGCAAACCGCGACGTCAGCGCCGGCATGCCACCTTGAGCGAATATGAGCCCTCACGAAGACGCTCGTCCAAGCAGCTACCGGAACTTGGCAATACTTGGAGCCTGATGCGGCTCTCCAACACAGTCTCAGGCAGAAACTTGCCGTCCGAAGCTGAGTAGAGACCTTCGACGCGCAGACCTCATGGTGATTGCAACGTGCGCCGATGAAGGGCTTGTGAATGAATCTGCAGACTATGTCTGCTGCCGCAGGCTCCAAAAGCTTGACGAAGCTTGGAGACCTTCTCTACACAGATGGAGACCTCCAGAAAGCTTGGCATGTCCATTCTGAAACTGGGGTCACCACAGTGCTGTCAAGGCTGCACACACAACGACATTCCACATATGCTGGTAAGGTTGCCGCAAACGGAAGAATGAGGAGCGCCCTCCGTCCGTGAAAAAGAAGCTGCCGGAGCATTAACACCTGTGTCTCACATATTAAAGCTCAGAAGTACCAAGACAGCCTATTCACTGAAGCCGCAGAGCTCATCCCTTTTTCAGAGCCTCGGAAACCAGAGACTTGCCGGCACTCGTTGGAGCTACCTACAGCAGCAATGGCCGACACTTTCCAGGACCAACCTGTGCAATGCAAGTCTCAGAGGGTCGCATAAACGAGGGACTGCCCTGCGACGAGGACCTGACGAAAAAGTTGTGCAGAAATGGGAAGATATTGGAAGCTCATGAAGTCTGCGTGCTGCTCAAGTCTTGCATTCATAGATTGGGGGGACTGGCTGGGTTCTCGTGGTCCCGGCTTTTTGGTGCCTAAGCTTAGTTTTGAGCTGAGTCCGATTTCAACAATCTGTCGCTAGTTCCGATCGAACAGCACATGCCGAAACAAATCTAGTCAAATCTCGGAGGCACCTTCCTATGCCCGGACGGGACAGTACACCGCTTGGGCACGAGGATTGCTCCGATGTAGCGCTGATAACCTGCTAGTAAGCTTTGCTTCAGGCTATGGTGGGCTACGGCTGTGTTTCGCAGGCACGACAGGCAAAAGGATGATTTCTGCTCATAGTTATGGCAACCTCGCTGGCTTTGTCTTGAATCATCTGGGCTGGACTTCTGGATAACACTGTCTGAAGCGTCGCCTGTCTCTTCTTGTCTTGGGTAGCCTGCCCTGTTGCTCTCCCGTGGTCCGGGCCCCTTCCTGGATAGACGTTGCCCGAAGATCTGAAAATGCTACTTCGCGATACAATTGCTGAGTACACTCATCACGAAGCCCGTCAGGCCTTCAGAGCCCGATCGGGCTTTGCAAGTTATGATGACTTTGAGGTAGCTGACGGGGATGGATGGTCACTGACAGTTAGCCCCTCATCCCAAAGCCCAACTGGCTCCGCCTACAATGAGTTCTTACGAATCCCGGGTGCTTGTGATGAAAAGCACTGGACCATGTCCTTTTCTCACACAGCATGATCAGCTACGAGTTGTGGAACGACAGAAGATTCATTCCAGGAGCTGCCATCACGGCTCCTTGGACTTCAAAAGGCCCCTTGACGCCTCTTCCTCAAGACTGCTCGCAAGAGCAGGTCAAGAATCTGATATGCTCCTACACTCTCCGAATCTGGCATCGGCATGATCCGAACCGGATCAGCTCGACTGCCTTCGAGACAGTTCGAGAGAGGCAGAGGCAACACCAGGGCAAGGATCTGGGAAGCTACAGATAAACTCCCTCCCGGCCTGGTTTTTAAATAAATGTTATCTGATGAGACATGGCAGACTGGACGGCAAGATACATGCTAGCGGTCTTTTGGCGCTGCCTGCCGCCTGCCTTGACCGAAAGAGGTTCAGCGTTCCAGCTATCAGCTCGACAAGTGCAGCTTCGTGCTCAGACCCAACCCTGATGTGTTCAGAGTCCGAAGCCCCTTCGTTCGTCGTACGGTGAATGCCGAGTTCTTGCATTCACAAACATCTCGACTGGATGTTCAGCGGCTCTTCTCCACACAGACTTCTGCACATTCTACCCGGTCTTCTGTGGGGGCTTTGCAGCAAGAACCGCTTAAACGGCACCCCCGGCATTACATGGTGACGAAGGTATCACCGAAGGCGGCAGCAGCTACACGTTCGCAGCCTCCGTGCATACCATCAAACGCCTCCTCGGACTTGCTCAACTCAGCAACATCATCTGTTCGCCCTATCGCAACAGTCATGATAGTGTCATGCCAATGACCCTGACAAAATGCACGAATCCATTAACACTGGCACCGTTCGAGAGGCTGAAATACTTACGATCAAGGAAGGAATCATTGTTGATTTCCAAAGACCGGCCGGAAACTTCTGTTTGCCAATTCCTACGTTGGGATAAGCTCAAGGCTCGGGAATCAATCGTTGGTTCCACAAAGCATTCGGAATAAAGCCCGTATCACAACTGTGCACTACAAACAGAAGCCTAGGGCTTAGAGACCTTGCAAGCCACGCTTCGCGCAAGAAATCTGGCAGGTCGCTGTGGGCGAGGTCTGCAGGCCCCAACCCCCTCGCGTTGCGCAAGTCAAGCCGTGCTCCTCATGGCTGTAGACAGGCTGTGTATGCAAGACAGATTTTTGTTGGCGCGATGCGAGCTGATAGAGCCGATCTAAATCCCACTTCACCCAAGTCCTGATGCGACGAGTGCTGCGGCACCTTCGTACTGGCAGGTCAGCATGGCCAAGATCAACGGAGTAGCACCAGGACCGTGATATGCCAAGGTTGACCTAAGATTGAGGGGCTCGTCAGCAGCAAGGCTTCTTAAGCCATCTTCAGCTGCAGTGACATCAATACATACCAAAGCGTAAAACCACTGATCCTATGAACTACACATGCCAAGTCCCAGAAGTCCTAGGATAAATGCGTCACCACTAGTAACTAGCCTCATTCGATTTGGCATCTGACAACTGCAATCTTCGCATAAAACCAAACCAGCCTTAACCGTGTCGAGTGACAGGGCCGTGACTCTTCCAAGCTTGTATTGCAAAGTCTTCACTGTGCCGAATATCCCCAAGATGACAGAGTCCTTCCACCAGCCTTGGCTAACTGCTGTCGTTGATGGATCAATGCTACCTGTACCACAAGAGTCGCTAGAGGACGAAATCTGCGCAAGTGTTCTTCACACACCAAAACCACTGACTGCTGTCCACTGTCTTTTATGCCGGTGACTAGTGCCACCATCATCGCCATCATCACTGCGTTTTTTGACCTGTGTTCCCTATTTCCCCGATTCCTTGCGGAGCTCTCCTTACCCGATCATTGTTTCCAGACGTTCCCTCCTTACTGATGCTTTTGCAAAAAAAACAAACCGTCCGAGGGGCCGAAGCTCTGATCGTTTACATCAGCGCGCAGTTCAACGAGTCTCTGAACCAGCGCGACACTGCCTCCCCGATCTGCCATGGCAAGCTGCAAGCCACGAGTAGCAGCCGCTGCATCCAAGGGCTGGCCTGCTCGTGCTGCCTGAGCCAGCAACTCCTCCACTGCCTCCAGTTTGCTGTAGCAGCAAGCTTGTTCAAACGCGGTATGGCCCACAAGGTTGCGATGCTGCAACGGACACCCAGCGTCACAAAGAAGGCGGACCCCTTCGGGATTGTTGGCAGCTGCTGCAGCGACCAGGGGAGTGCTGATAAAACCATCTGTGAGAGCAGCGCGAGCTTGGATCAACACTTTCGAGGCCTCCACGTGCCGATGGAACAGAGAAATGGCTAGCGGCGAAGTGTAGGCCGGTGCTCCCAACAAAGGCTGATCCTTTCTGGTTGTCCGGTTTGGGTTGGCCTGAAGCTCCAAGAGCCCTCGAAGCACTTCCGGATCCCCACTCATGGCTGCGTAATGCAAAGGGCACCAGCCGCCCCTGTCAGTCTCGCGCACATTTGTGAATCCATTCCTGGATCTTTGTGGCATCACCACATACACATGCTTCGAAAAGGAAGAGGCATGAAAAGGATGCAGTGATATGGAACATGTCACGGTGCAGTTGGTGGAACTATACGCAAATGCGGTGACGGTGACCGCCCTGTGGCTTCTGGGACCCGAAAGCTCCAACAGCGAATCCTCCAAACTGCCCCTCAGGGAGGACAAAAATCCGCGATGAGAACAGGTCCCGAGACGACCTTTAGTGGTTAATTCCAAGCTGGGAAGCAGCGATCAGAAAAAAAGACGCGCACAGGAATAATTCATATGCTTTTTCATCATAAACGCACACCTCAACCTCACGAGATGCAAGGATGTAAGCATGGCTCTGATGGAAGAAGGCCATGACGGAATTGCAGCCGTCGCTGCTCTCGAAGCCGGGCACCAGCTCATCGAGTTCCCGCACCTCTAAGCCTCTGAGGTAGGATTTCCTGGGCTGAGCGGGGTTCCGGAAAGGCTTCCAGCATGTATCCACATACAGTACCGTACCCTAAGTGCTGTTCCACTGCTTCCTTGCTGGATTCGTGCCTTGCTCAGCTTACCAGGCTGGCGCGTTCCGGCTTCTACTACGCTACTTCTTCCTAGCGTCTGCTGATTCAGCAAGACCCTGTAGCCGACGACATCCTGGCACCTGAGCAGTGAAAGGAGCTTCTGCTTCAGCGCACCCGCCAGGACGGGCGCGAGCTTCTGGCGGTCGTCTTGCACTGTGAACTCACCTCCAGGTGAGGCAAACTTTCAAACCCCACGACACGACCCCACTCAAGCAGCCCAACCTTCACACGGCCCGGTGTTCTCGAACCCTAACGGTCCCTAACGAGTGTCGGAAGCTTCTCGCATCCATGGCTGCAGTCACCGCAAAATGCCGTAATTCTTTCTGCCTTCACAACCACGACTACAACCACAGACGACCGTCATCCATGCACTTTTTTACACTCAGTATGACAATGAGTATGTACGGCCCAGTATGATGCCCTGTGCTCGTATGCAAAGCTCCAACACCTTCGAATCCACTCTGCCACGGGCACAAAGTGGGCACACATCTGTGTCAGAAACTGCTGATATGCAAGAGAAAGATCTAAAGCCATCAACTTCTTATTTGCTTGTTGGATACCTTCCCCGATGGCTCCGCCGCCGTTGATTGCGGGCGATGAGACGATCAACTCCACTTGTGTGGGTCCTTCGATCTCACAGGGACTGTGAGGTTCCATGGGAAATGCATAGGGTCTACAACCTGAACGTTCAGATTGAGACCTGCTTGAGGTCTTCGTGACAGCGGCTCTATGTCTCCTACTTTCCGTGAAGCTCTGCTTACATCTTTATGATTTGGATCGGTGCCGCTGCTTTTATATGCTATTGGTTGTACAAGTCTGTGGTCGGGTTTGAGGGGGGTCTGTTCGCTTTGTCCTTTGAGCTTGGATTCAAAGGATCGAGCTTCTGTGTTGCGCTCAAAGACATCTTCGAAGTCAGAGTTGACAACATGGCTTATGTTGTGGGATCCTAGCAGCTTCAGCTTCATTATCAACTCTCCACAGCTCACTGTATGCCACTCCCGGTTCCCTCCAATCCCAGAACAGCCACACGAAAGGCAAACTATTTCAGATGGCGGGCCTTTCACCATGATCCAAGATGAGTCGTGGCAAAGCTCCCGACAAACTCTTTCAAGACGGCACCAGCCACCTCTGCTTGCTTTGATTCTTTTGATGGTGGGCCGATAGCCGGCCGATAGCCATCATTGGAAGGATAGCAGAAGCAACAAGAGTAGCAACAAGATGAAAATTATGATGAGACAGTTCGTAGGATGCAGGGCTCGATGGATTCAAGAGCGTTTGGGAGACATGGCATCACGGCTTTCCATGTAAACTGTACCGCAGCGAGACCATCACGTTTCAGCGCACAACATGCACACAACTCTTCCGGAATTAGCGCGTCGCGATGAAGACGACTTGTACCGGTACTGCCTTGCCGGTAACTCCAGGCCGCCATACTTGCCATACTGCACTACTTCCGCCGCATCAGTTGTTTGTGGTTTAGATCGGTCTAGATTTTCAAAGAGGGCAGCGGTTGCTGCGGATCCTTGACCCGTTCAGAAGTCTAGTCTAGGGAGCCCCTGAAACCTTGATCCTCTCTGAGCAAAGAGACGCTGGCTCCAGGTGGATGCCGTCCTCAACTTGGACCCGTCTTGTGTTTCGACAATCGGGCAGAGAGCGAAGAAGAAGGAGCACTCGGCCACGTAGGCGGGGATGCTGTCAATAGCTTGTAGCAAGCTGCAGCTGTGTTTGCCTTCATAACGAAACAATCAAAAGACAATCCTCCGGTGGTCCCCTTGAAAGGGTCCCCACTCAAGACAACCAGAGATCGTGAATAACAGAGGTTAGGAAGACCCTGTTGAAGATTCGAAGACTTGCGAGAGTTTCGACCAAAGCTTGAGCCTTGGCTTAGCGTGGGCTCCAGCTGCGGGCAGGAGAAATAGTCATACCAAATCCAGAGAAGCTTTGCTCTCAGCGCTGCTGTATGCAATGGCTTGGCCTGTGGCACAATCGCCTCGGTATATGCATCCAGCGGCACCAAATCCAAGTTGTTCATCACCTGACTGCCAGATTATAAGGCTTGAGAGGCAAGCGAAGAGTAATACTCAAAATTGAAAAGCAGCACTCACTAACCTGCGAGGCTCACCGCAAGGAGCAGAGGAAACTGTGCACTGGGCTCCCTAAACCCCGATCGTAAGCTCCGTCTGAACCACACCCAGTGACATGGCGTAGGGCTTGCTGCAGAACCCGAAACTGCTCGAACCGCGGATCTGGATGATCCTGGGCTTGTCTCCCGTCAAACTGGTTCCCCTCCTGGCAGTTTCTGAACCTCGCCCTGCTATGTTGACCTCTCTGACCCCTGACATCGACTCGATCCTGCCACAGTCAAGGCCTCCGGAATGGTGCGTTGGAAATTACGAGTTACTAGTTGCTACCAACTACTTTAACTCTAACCTCTGTTGTGTTTTGCAGCACGATCCTACTCAAGCGGAGTCTAGCGTCACGCCCCAGCCATTGGTGCGACACGAAGGCCGCATTGCCCAAGTTCTTGTCGAACTCCATTACCAGGCCTTTGGTCTTCAGCTCTTCGTGCGGCTCAATTTCGACCATCTGCAGAACAGCATGCAACGGCACCGTGTACATCGGGAAGTGCATGGGAGTCCTGATGTCAGCATCTTGTGCCCCCAATGATCGTGCAAACGCGGCCAGGGGTGTCGGAGCTGATGGTGATCGGCATAGCGACATGGCTCAAGGCTCCGTGAACTCTTGAATTTTGAGTTGTCAGAAGATGTCGCACCGATGAAAGGTTTCCCGAAAGAATCAACCCTTGCAGCCCCGATATCCTGGACTTCTCCAACGCTGTTGAGCAGTTTACCGTGGCCCAGTGCGCTGCAACTTGGGCCTGGTGCGCAGAAGCAAAGCTTTCCAAACAAACAGCCAAGGGGGGGCAGCGGGGCATCCCAGAAAGACAAATCTGCACGCCGCAACACATGTCATCTCGGCGCCTGCGGGCAGCTCAGGCATTCAGCTTGCCACCTGTGTAGGTGCTGAATGCCCGCTGCACGGAGGCAAGCCTTGCTTGCATGTCAAGCACTGCGGTCGGCAAGTCTTCCCTACTCTGCAAGCATCAAGCACTTCCTACAGCATTGCCGACAGGCCACCTGCACCGATTGCGGAATGCACCAGTAGGCGAGCTCCTGAGCGTCCGCGTCGTCACAGGTGGCAGCAATGAATCTGTTTACGACATGCGTTTGCTGTTCGACTAAAATTTCGCTCGGCATCCAAAGGGTTTTGCCCTCTGCAGCTGGCATACGGATGGATCTCCTGAAAAAGCAAGCCGAAATGAAGGAAAGCTGGCAAGAAGGGAAGGGGTGAGTTGCATTGGTGCAGGCTCCTCTGGCACTTCTATTTCCGAGTAGGCAGGTTGATTGCTGGCAATTCCGCAGGCCTGCCATCCGAACAAAGCCAAAAGTTTGCCCAAATGGTTGAAGAGCCGAAGCAGCACCTTCAAGTATTGCTGATCTGACGCGGCAGCTCTGTAAGCCCTGCCACAGTTGCATATCGGGCTTGCCGACAGAAGGTGGATCCGTGACCTTGCACCCTTCTTCAACACGTCACCAGCCAACGTGATGTACACCGTCTGCCTGCAGCATGTTGATTCTGGTTCATCCCAAGTTGTTGCTTCTGGAACTGACGACAGTGATGGAATAACTGGGCGACAGTGGCAATTGCTTTTTTTGGGGAATCCTACTCTGATTCCCGACATTGCTTGCTAGCGCAGGCTTCGTTTCAGCATCCCGGGCCGCGTTACACGGGCGCTGGCGCACAGCCGGCAGCTGCATGAGAGTAAACACGCCTTGACGCTGGATTGCGCGAGGGCAAGCGGATGCAAGCGGCGTTGCACTCTCGCTACTAGTACACACTAGCGCGGCTCCGGCGCGCAGACGTGTTTTACATTCACTCGAGAAGTACCCTAGTTTCATGTAAAGACACATTGAATGTGCACTCGCTTCGTCCGCCCGCCTGAGAAATGCCGGCTAGAAGATGTGGCACACATGCGACGCTGCGAAATAAACGCTCGCTGCTTGACATTTCTCAGCTGCCTCCGACTCAGAACGGACAGCACTTAACCCCCAAAGTGCAGTTAGTCTTTCTTGGCGCGCCCGTCAGCATTGAAATCCATGCTGAATCTTGTCTGCCTCGTGAGCTGCCGCCGTGCGCTCTTGTCTCTTTTTCCAGTGGTGTCACTGTGTTGTGGCCAAAAAGAGCTGGTATACCGTTCCACAAAACACAAGATGTCGATGTCAACTTCTGGGAGTTTCCTGGCACCAACATGAAGAGCCGCAACCAGTCAGTGCCACCTCCTGTTGAAGAGAGAAACATCCGCCGCCCAAATGCACTTGCGTTTACCAGCTTATTTGCACCAACACTCAAATTTACAATGCTGGCCCGATACAAAGTTCAACAAGGACAATCGTTTCATGAGCTTATCGCAAACCAGCTGTGGGCGGCACCATTTGCCGTCAACAGTCCTTCAAGGAGGATCGAAATCCGCGGCACACATCACAGAAAGATTTGGAGCAAACTTCCTCGAGCGCCACAGCGCAAGGCGTCTGCGCACAGCCTTCTTCTCAAGCTGCTGCCTGCAAGGGAGTGCATCTAAAGCCTACGGCGTAGTGACGATGCAAAAGGATGGCAAGCTACCTTCGCTTGATGGCAGCGGCTTGATCAGGCCTCAGCTCGGGCGACGGAATGCGAGGGATCGCCCGTACCTTCCCCGGCTAATCCAATATTCCAGAACCAGCAACCTAGACTCCTGGACCCTACAGTAGAAGACCGAGGAGCGATGTTTGCAAAGCTTTGCAAGGTCGCTGGGAACCCGGCCGCAAGATGCGCCCGCCGCGGAGGCGCTTCTCCTTCCCCCCTGCAAGCGCGTCACTTGCCGAGCCTCTCAAGCAACATGAGGCGAGGCGCTTCGCGTTCTCAGCCCTGCCTGCAAGCTCGGCTGGCCCGCGCTTCCTTCCAGAGATTCGGCTCCCCGATGTCTGCAAACCCGATCGCGTCAAGATAGGCATGAATAGCAAATCTGCCTCATCTTCGTGCCACATCTCGCTGCCGAAGTTCTGCAGAATCCATCAAGCTGTTGAGGTCACTGTCAGCCATATGAACGGGCATGACAAAAAAGTGACAAGCGGTTTTGGGGATTGGCGGGTGTGGCCGACTCATGGGCTCGTGCCAGCTTGACCCACTTGACCAGACCTGTATGTGCAGGCATGATGATTGCAGCGCGAGCCTCATTCAGGTCATTTTGGCTGTTGTGCCTTGCCTCTGCATACTGATGGCGAAGGCCTTGTAAGCCGAGCAGCCGCGTGATCAATTTTCGCTATTCTTGTCGTGACTGCATGCTGCATGCTACATGTGCAAGGCTGTTCGCAAAGCTTGCTCAGACGAGACCTGCAGATTACAGATCAGATCGCAAGCACAGTGTTCCGGTGCACGCGCATTCCTTGTGAAAGAAACTGTTTTTCGCCCTTGCCACATCAGCTTCACGCAAAAACGAATTCTGGCAGGTTCCAGTGACCACAAGCCCTACAATTCCCGGCACATAGCTGAATTTCAATTGGCCAGCCACCAGTTCAAGTGACCAGGTGGCACCACTACGGTAGAACAAAAGGAGAAGGCAAGCTGGAGAGAGAGGACCGAGGGAATCAGATGGAGACTGAGAGGGACTGAGACCGTCACTGTAACTACACGGCCTTTGGAGTCATGCAAGACTCTCTGCCCTCCCGAAGTAAAGATGGCTACAGATGAGTGCAGCAAATTCTGCTGGTCACAATCGTTGTGGTTCGCATCGGCTACACTAGCTATGCACGGATACATGCTGCTGGGCAAAGCAGCAGACGGCGGCACCATCAAGAGGCATGCGGCATGTGCCTGCCGGTCTCCTTTCTGTGACCAGCTTGTCCCACTAATCGCTAATTCGGCTTCACCACGGCAGAAGATCTCGGACGGGTTCCGGCAGCATCTCGTCCACAGCCGCCTCCGATCCGGAGAGGACTGGGAAGTGCACACAGTTCTCTTCAGTGCGCCAAGGCACCCCAACGCACGCCAAACGCAGGAGCCAGAAAGGCGGGCGCCGAACTCCTGGTGACACGCGAAGCTATTGCTCCTAACAAGAGAGCTCAAAAAAGCATGTTCTGGCTGTTGAAACAGGTTTCCAAGCCCCCACAGTCGGGCCCAGGTCACGAATCACCCAAAACCGACCATTGGGATCATAACACGTGCCGCAATCTTTCGCGCAGCTTCCATGGCCAATCATGCAAGATGCTCTACAGCCAAGACCATTGGGTGTCGTCTGGCTTCTTGCCGCACACACACACACACACACGCACGCACACACACACACACACACACCCACACACACCCACACACACACACAGTCACAGCCATACACTTACATGCTTGATGCTTCTATACCCTCTGGATGCGTGGCCTCTAGCGGTCGAGTCCTCGGATAAGTCTTGCTGTGGCCCCGCGGTTCGTGAACACTCGAATTGGTTTTGTCTGGTTCGTTTCTGGATGGTTGGTTGCTTCTCCTAGTCGGCGGCAAAGGTCATCGGCGAAGTGACAGCAGTTCTTGCGCAGCAAATCATAGCTTTCTGCGCCGTACTCCTGGCAGACTGCATTTCGCCACCACTACACACAGAACAGCTTCAAGGTTTGCATATTACGAAAATATCACGGTTCGTACGGAGTGCGCGAGAAAAAATTGCACGAAGCTCCTCCGCAATCTCTGCAAGGATTTTGGCGACTTCTTCACGGCTGCACTGGGAACGGCCAAGGTAGACCTCGATTGGCTCCCGGCAAAGTTCTCTAGTATTTTCTGAACTCCACCTGCGTAAGCATCGGACTGTCTGCCGATAACTGTGCTGCATGTTGTGCTTCGGCTGGTGGCATCGCACTCCAGTCGGCGACTCGTCGTCAAGGCACCCTGATCCGAAAGCCCACTCGAGCTTGCTAATTTCAACTCCGGCGTGAAAAAGACCACCTGTCCGATTGCAAAGCACAAGAGCTGTGTTGCCGCTCACTTTGCCAACAAAACCCCGGCCTAGCTTTATCGGTGCATCCTTGTTCGCAAAGACAGAGTTGACACGCTGAATGTTCGGATCGCGCGAGACGTCATAGATGTGCAGCTTCACTTTGCGGCCCTTGAGGCGCCTGCAGGCACGGTATGGGAAAGCTGCAACTCAAAGCTCCCAGAGTGATCCACCTGCTGGCCGAGCCCCTCTACAGATCAAAACAGGCTTTCCGATATCTGCGCCTGTGGACCTTCAGCTTTCGCCGTCTGCTTGGAGTTGAGTTTTAGTTTCCATGTGACCGACAGCTGCTTGCTTCGTCAGATTCTTGGCATGCTCGTGGTTGCTTTGACTTGCGCTGATTCCCTGAGATCAAACTGGCAAGGCAAGGTCTCAAAACCACGGAGCGATTTGGTTCCGTCTCCGCGCCTCTCATGCTTCTCAACTCGACAGTATCCAGCTTCAAGTGAAAACCAACAAACCGTTGCCTCACGATAGCTGGAGACCCCTCAACGAAGGCCCAAGGAGGCTCTAGGTTGCCCAAGTGATCACAAACAGCAAACAGCCTTCCACAGGTTGCTGCAAGGACGGGAGCCCGCCTGTGCTTCGACCGAAGCGAGCGATTGGCTGCTGGATCGTCACCTGCAGTTGTTCTATCCGCTGATTCCGACCACTGTCATGCAACATGCGGCCCAAGCGGCAGCGGTCGCCAATAGGCTCAGCGCGGGGAGTGTAAATGTCAAACTGCGGCGTCATCGTGAAGATGTCGTAACTGTCAGCCTCTCAGTTTCAGCAGCCGAACTCAGCGGCACGTGAAGGCCGGGTGTCCCGCCTCTGCCGGGCTTTGCGCACCGCACGGGCAGCTCTCTTCAGGATCCGGCTTGAAGTCGCCAAGTGGACCAAAGGGAGTCAGCTCCTGCCTTTCGCTTGGCACAGGCTCGGCCAGTGGCGTGGAAGCGGCGGCAGGGGCCGGGGCTGGGGGTCTCGTCTCGGTCAGCGTGCCATCAGCACTCTTCAGCCCCGCTCGCCGTCTCCTCCTCGACAACTTCTCCTTCATCTGCCGATGAGCACCGTCCGGAACGCAAAGCATGAGCTTGCGGGGGAGACTTGCGGCTAGCGCAATGTACTGTACACGTGCTGTCTGAGAGAGAAAAAACTGCAGCCGGAAGCTCGGCTCGAAGCAAAGTGGCCGTGAAACCTTGACACACGTGCATGCCGCTGCATTCCCCGGGATGGCAACGACGTTTTCGTTTTGAGCCCATGTCCAGGATACTCAGAGCATGGTTACTCATTGATCGTGTTGGCGGAACCTGTCTGCCACTTTTGGGCATCTAGCACGCACTTTCCCCAGTTAACTTCCTCGATTGACGCTCGCAAGCTGCGTGCCCGTCAGGACTTGTGACCTGGCAGAATCTTGCAGCGATGGCCAGGGCTGTCACATCGGCAACCTTCCACCGGCCTTGTGAGGTTCTCATTCATCGTCTTGACAAACGTCCTCCTGACAAAACGGGGCTCCATCTTTCGACGCACGTCCCCAAATGCAATGCCCAGCCAGGCCTCCGAAGCCTGGCCGTCTTGCGCCTCGAGGCTTTCCGAGGCTCGGCTCTGGCTTTCTCTTTTCTGGCGCAAGTCTCTGAGGACCAAGCCCAGTCTGCAAATTCCTGCAATAGGTCCGACGACTGCCTCAGTCGGCACTCCAGAGCTCGAGGAGCCTTCACACTTCCTTCCCACCTTTACCACGCCGCCACGTGTCTTGCAGTGACGGGAATAGACTATGAGGGCACTCGCTGGCGAACACATCAAGACTGGCCGTGTGTCTGGCAATCGCAGCCAGGCGGAGCAAAGCAACAGAAACAGGAAGACCACGACAAACCTGCGCAGGCGACCCCCTGGCGACTTCGTGAGGCTAAATTTCGTGCGGATCTGCAGACTGCAAGCATGCCAGGCTCACACGGCGATGCGCTCGCAGAAGTTTACCGAAGACTTGTTGGATCCTGCCAGGATGCATCCAAAAACAGATATCGCGGGGACCACAGCCTGGGAATCCGACCCTTGGCCCGGGACACTTGGCCCTTCCGCTGCTCATGCCATGATGATTGCCTCTTGACAGCCGTTGCCAATTGCTATCACCGCTCGAATCTCCCCAGATTCGAGAAACCCCAGACCGTGCTCCGCGCCGTGGTTGCTTTGCTCTCCGAGGGTCCCTGAGAAAGCAGCTTGTAGACTTCGCTCCGGGTCCCTCTCTCGTGCTCGTGCAAAGCCAAGCGACGGGGGCCGCAGCCGCTCGCTTTGTAGCCAAGAGGACTGCTCGGCCAAGACCTCGAGCTGCCACGCGACGCCGCGACACCGAAACCCCAATATTCGTAAGCAGGTCTGAGTCTTTCCGACCTCACCAATGATCTCTGCAGTGCCAAAGTCTATTTCTGAGCCTCCAGCATAGCACGAAGTCTCAAAACTGCCCGCAACATCCCAGACCCACGCTATCAGACCACCCAGCCTTTCGCCACTTTCACATCCTTGGCCCGCTCAGGCCAATCGCTGGACGCGGAAGGGTTTCGACTGCCGCCAGCATGCAGCTCCTCAGGGTTGGAAAAGTGCTCCCCTCAGGGCTCAACTACTACTATACCATTACTACTAGTCAAGTACTAACTAGCAGCTAGCACTTTTCTAGCACTGTTGAAGTTGGTCATTGCTAGTACAGTTTGTACCATTGTTATACGAAAACGCAGCTCAGACCAGGCCTCGGCCTCCTCGGCCTCTTCGGCCTCCTCGGCCTCGGGCCTCGTCGCTGCCTCCAACATCTCCTTTCGGGTCAAGCCTCGGGCTCAAATCTCGTGCTTTCAAGCAACGACCTCTGTTTGTCCGGGGGACATCGCAAGGATGCCTAGGCCTAAAACTATAGGATCCATTGAGCGCGATTATAGCCTGTCTGGTAAGAAACCTCCCATGGTTTCTCCTCCCACCTCTCATGCATGAGATTGCACGAGATTCCTCCCAAACTGCGATCTGAGAGCATCCCGGAACAGAGATGGTCGATCATCTGCCCGGCAGGTTCTAAGCGAACTTTCCGATCAGCGACGCGACTCCGGTCTGTAAGAGGCGTGTTTCACGCTGACGCTGGTGGAACCTTTTGGAGCCTGCCTCAGCAGAGTGGGGCGGTTGAAAGGCGATGCGCCATTGCCTTGCAACGGCTCCATCATGCTGAGGCAGGCTGAAGCTACTACACGCCCCCGGTCTGCAGTTGTCCTACATAGCTTGATGCCATGTGCCGAATCAGCGAAGACGGCAAGGGTGGTCAACAGAGAACAGGCAACCCAGTGCCACCTACATTCCCTGCGCTGGTCACCTCTCTCACCTCTCTTTGCTTCTTCGACCATCCTCTAAGCCTCTAGTTTTACTAGTCGCTACTCCGACGGTCATCAACTCCGATAACGCCGATAACGCTAGTGCTTAATAGGTCCTGTCCGCATTGTCTCGCCTCGTCCAGTCGGCATGCACCCATGCATGACCACGTAGAAGACAACCCAGGTATTGGAGCATACAAGCAGATGTTGAGGCAAGAACCTGCTGACTGGAGCCACGGCTGCAAGCCTGCGGATAGATAAGATCTTCTGAAGCGAGCCTGAGTGAAAATTGCAACAGCAAGCATTGATCGGCTCGGCTGCCTGCCACACCAGGACCATCCGAAGCCCAATGCCCTTGTGCCACATTGGGATCACATCATCTATAATTCCTGTTACTCTTGGCTGAGCGTCATGAAATGACCATGAGGTGCCACGTTGCTACGAAGATGTGGCCGGGTCTTATCCTGCCTGGACTCTTTTTCCTGACAAGAGCAATGCTCTTGAGCCCGCGGCACCGCCACTTTGCGCTTCTGGAACTTCTGTGTCATGGCTTGCAAACTGTGGGTTAGTCGTATCTCATACCATCTCTCGCACCAGAGACCGTGAAATTGCACTACTACCACTGCTGCTCGAACGCGAACCGAACCATGAACTGCAATTCGAACCACAATGCAAACCCGAGACTCCAGACCTGCACGCATGATGCTTTTGCAGGAGCAGCGAGCCGGCAAATCTAAAAGCCAGTAGCTGGGCCTGGGCACAAGGCACGCATTTGTCCGGAGCTGAGTTGCTGCAGACCCTGAGGGATCGAAGCTTGCAGAGCAAATAACACCCTGCCGAGCAACACGTTTGCTCAAATTCTGGCTTGGTCCACCTGTCAGATTTCTTTGCAGCACAACGACCATGCCGTGGCGATGTAATGGTGCCGTGTCCCGGATCACACTAGCCGCATCAACCCCAGCATGCTGGAAATGCGCGACTCCTGCTGCCAACAGACAGAACATTCAGACACACCCCGATGCTACCTAGCTTTTATCAAGATCACAAGGCACAACTCCGGTGGAAGTGCGGAGCGACATGCGACAAAGAAGCCGACACGCAGTGACAACAAAAAGTGTCGCATCTCTGCTACCGCACCCTGTTGAAGGGCCGTTAAGATCTTCGATTGGTTCCTTGTGCCCAACAGACCCATGGAAAAAAAGCAAGCGAAACAGGAGCCGGGTAGGAACGCACGACCTCGAGCTTGGAGGCGACAGCTGCCACCCTAAACATCACATCACCAAAAGCAGCACTATGCAGCACTGTGCACCTGCCGCTGCAACTTTTCGGAGATCGGCGTGCGCTTCAAATGCTCTAGAAAGCGCCTGCCACGCTGGAGCTGAAAGCTGTCCAAGTTCTTAAACAAGCAAAGAAAGGAAATTGCCCACGGGTGTTGTGTCTCATCCTCCAAGGCAGAACAACTCTTGAGCAGTAGCTGAAGCACGCCAGCCGCGCGAAAGCCTATCGTAGAAAGCATCGCCAGCCTGCAACAGAGGCATCTCAAAAAGAAACGTGCGAAAATACACAAGATCCGGAAATATCTTAAAGCAATGCTACCAGAGCCGTTGCAAGTGCTGCCTGCATCTCCAGATTGTTGTGGTCTGCACCCTGCCATCAAGGATTTCCCACGTAACGCAGGCGAGATTGAAGTGAATTCTGCATGCAGCACGTCGCCTCGATGACAAAGGCATCGTAAGCAATGCCCTTTTTAACACACGTCTGGTACAGGGCCTCAGAGCAGGGAACCAACCTCTGCTTTTGCTAGCCGCTAGCATGCTCCCGGCTGCAGACAGGCCTTGCCTGACCATGCCAGACCGGGACGATCTCATCCCTGGTGCCATGGATGATGAACCTGACCCGGACTGGATGATGTCACGTTCGCACTTCGGCCATAGCATTGTTCAGGAGGAAGTCTTTCTTGCAGACCAGAAGCACCGGAGAGCACACATTGCCTGTGCCGAATCGGAATCTCGATGCTAACACCCAGACTCAAACCAGAGTGTGACACTGCTGCCCGGTGGGCTGGCAGCTGCTAGGATCATCAGCAACGTCAAACAGGACGTTGGTGAAGATGAGCGGAAGGCTGCTGAAGTTGCAGTCGAGTGGCCGATTTTGTCAATGTTTGTGAAGACGTCTCCCGGAAGCGTGAAGCGCAAGCGGAATCTCAGCGCAACTGAAGACCGGCTAGAACGCTTCCGTTGAAGATCTCGGAGTGCCATGTTGTCTTGTCAACCGGTGATACCGTAAGGAGCCGGCGGTATTCTGTAGATTGACACCATTGGGCTCTGCAGTATCTAAGTTGCACCCAACCGCTTAGGCAAGCTGAGATGCTGTACACCTCTGAGACCCTGAACCACGCCGCGAACCGGGGTCTGCGTGGCCAAATGGATGGAAGGCGCTGTTCCAATCGATCGGCCGTAAGGCACAATCTGTGTCCAAGGAATGCCTCAGGGCAGCAGCCGGTGGCGTGGCTCCCACGAAAGTCGGGCTTCAACAAATCTCAGCACGCCGCGAAGCTCATCCCTCAAGTACCTGAGCTTCTGAGGGCAGGGGTCGACCGACTCTCTCTCTCTGTCTCCTCTTTTTGCTGTCGTCTCCCGTCTTGCACTCTGCGTAGCTGCCGCCAAGGCTGCTTGAAGGCAGCTTCGATATCCGCGTACACCGCTGCCTCCTGAAATCAACTCCGGCACCAGCACACCGCTGGTCGCAGGGCAAAGCAAGCCCGCCAAGGACACACAGTTGTTAACGTCCTGTGGCTGGCCAGTGCTCATGCCGTACCCTGTATACCTCAGCTCAGCGATTCTTCAAGATTACACGGGCCAAGCTGATCTGCTCAGCGTTGCAGCTGGGATTCTCGTAGGAAAACACGTTGACATGTAAGATGTGACTCAGCTCTCGAAAGTACCTCCAGGGGGCTTGTCGGGGGGGGGGTCATGAGTCATGGGTGTTACTCCGTTGCTCCCGTTGCTCTCTTTTTCTCTTAGCCGGATGCAGTGCATGCCGGCGGGGCGGCACCGGATGATCAGCCCCAAGTCTTCGGCATTGCCGTGGCTGAAGAGCAAGGTGAAACTGAGCGAAATGCGAAGAAGCAGACTGAGCAGACTCTGAGCTTTCTTGGGGCAGCTGCCTGGCATCTTGCCGCCGGACATAGAAGGCGGGAATGACCTGCGCTCTGGGCTCACCGTCACCGGTCGTGGCCGAAACTTCGAGGAGAACGCTGGACTCGAATCCCCGGCCTCCTCTCTGGAAGTCGTCAGCCAAAAGAGGTTTGGATCTTTGCCATACCTGCAGCCAAGGCCCGAAGGCGGCGGATCCCTGCCCGACAATTTCGATGGGCCAGGCACGAAGCTTGAGGAGGCTGGAAGACAACACGAGCGAGGTTATTGCCCATGGCAACCTCCATCGAGTAATCAAGATGCCGGAGTCTGGCACCGTGCTCGAGGCCCCAGACCCTACAGCGAAAGCAGCACACCCATGCGAAACCTAAGTCGCAGCAGGTCGACAGCCTACGCTTGAACCGGAAGCAAAGCACGCAGCACCCACTGAGAAGCTGGCACACAGGAAGCACGCCAACTTTCAACTGATGCTACCGTCCACCAACCCGTGGTGAGATGTGGTCAGGCTGGTGCAGTTCTTGCGGCACTGAAGAGTTTATGGCTGACGAAGGCGTGGATCATGCTGCTGACGGAAGCTCTCCGCATCCAAAACGCATGTCGCTGCTTGCTGCACATGAACACTGACACTGTTTATCGGACACGAGCGAAGTGTTGCTCCAGATGTGGACCTTACGGCCCCAAACAGACTCTCGGCAAGTGCATGGGCTTTTCGGCTGGGTCCAGCTCGAGATCTCGCGGATGCTGTACAATGCGAATTGGCATGTCAGCACAGGCTCAATGCCGTGGCTGACGGGCGAGGGCTGACACTGTTCTGGCTTCGGCCCTTCCACAGATCAGCAGTCGACACCAGAGCATTGATTTAGTATCTCCTGGCAGTCCAACGAGATAATTGACGCAGCGAAACCATACGACTACGACACGGGTGCTACCAGATTGAATGATTGGCCTGAAGGAACGGAGGCAGCTTGAATTCGCCGAAGCCGAGGTCCACTTCTGACGTGGTGGGCGGATGGGAAGAAGACTTCAGAAGCTGGCCTTGCCAGAATCTGCAAGGCCTTGCCACGCGTCGGATGCAGCTGATGCAGCTGAGGTCTGCCAACTCTCCGATGCAGCTCCTCCAGATCGACCAAGCGCGTAGACGGTATGAATCGCGAACATCTGGGGCTGCAGCCATCCGCTCCACGAGATGCTGAGACTCGCATTGGGTCATTCCTGGCCTTCGATCCCCAAGCGACTGCCATGCAACTGCACAAAGGACAGTGCTCCAAGCCCGGGACGGGAGTCGGAAGCTGTGCGGCTTCCAGAGATCCCTGGCGATCACAGGTTGCAGACATGGGTTTCGAGTGAGAGAGCTCCTTGTCTCTGCTCGACTCCCTAGCTGCAACAGCTACGGCATGGCCGCTGCCCTGTAGGATACCCCATACCCTACCCTGGTCGATTGCGTTCCCGAAGCTTCTCATGAAACTTGCGGAAGCCACGCCACTGACCCAATCGAGTACTGACGTCTCCTTCTGAGCTTTCCGGAAACCCCACCAAGGCACTTGCGCACTCGCTCCACACTTGAAGCCCCCCAGTCGGACAGCTCTTCTCTTGCCGCTTACAGGGCTTACAGTACAGTGTTTCTCTTAGCTCCTTGCCTGAGACGAGAAGGAGTCGGTGTCAATCGCATACCTTGGGGACATTCCACGACATGTCGTAGCACTGGCAGAGCTGCTCTTGCTGCCTTCAGTGTGCTGCTGTTCTACTTCTTGGGCTACTTCTCGGACGAAGAGCAGTCCCCACAGTTGTTTGCTCGTTTGCAGCCTGCTTCCGTCATGTACCCTTATAATCACTGCATGCTTGGAAGTCTGTAGACTCTAGGGCCGCTACAGGGGACGACCAGCTCCGACCTGCTCCTCAGCTTGAAGAAAGTACCTCTGCAAGCCGATCCCATGAAATTGCTGTTACTCACCTCAGTTGCACTGCTTACAGTCGGCGCACGCTGACTCTGGGGCGGAGAGCTCTCGGAAGCGCATGGAGGAGGCCGTCAACACTCGCAAGATGGCCAAGTCTGGAGGCGCATTCGGCCTAGGAAAGCCGCGAAGGGACAAGCTCTGGGGAGGGAGCGAATGGAAAAGCGGACAGGGCCAGCGACGAGTAGATGATCGACGCCACGTAGAGGCAGTTCCTCTCCAGCTCCGCGCCCCATTAGACCCGACTATGCTCAAAGCAATCGTGAAGTTTTAAAGTTTAGCCAAGCGGCGGCTCAAGCTTCGGAACTTCCACCATCACTGACCGCCCGGACTGGCAGAAGGCATCAGGATAAAAACTCCGACCGAGATCTCTCACTACGTGCTGAGGATCTGAGTTGCACTTTGGGGTTGGGGTCTGGAGCTTGAAAGCAGGAGAGCGAGAACAAAGGACAACGAGGGAAAGAGAGAGAGAGAGAGGAGGGAAGACAGCGAGAGTGAGAGCATCAAAGCCAGGGCGACGGAGCCGTTTGGCATGTCTGTGGCCACGCTAGAGATCGAAACAGAAACAAGCAAGACGAGACCGTGCTGCAGATCAAGCTACAGGGGAGACGGATCCGAAGCCTGGGAGATCGGCATCTCAGCAACCAACTCGAGAGGCTTGAAGGGATTGGACACGTTCTGCTTCACGCCTGGCGCTTTCATTGCAGTCCCGGGAACTGCATCGACGCTCACAACCATTGCACCTGTGGCATGCTGCGGCGGTGCCACGATTCGACACCGGTACACCCGCAGACCGAGTGGAACCGCTTTCCTGTCCACGAAACAGGCTACTCGTTGCATCTCGTTGCATTGCCGTGCCACGCGGTGCCCGGGCTTTTGCGAACCACGAGGAGGCTCTGCTTGTGAGAGAAGAAAGACTGCCTTCAACTTACATGGTCACCGAAACAGAGCTTGGAGTTCTATCCAGACCTGAAGCTTGCCCAGAGGGGAGGCCTGGGTTGGCGAAGAAACCGAGACGAGGGGGTAGCTGGGCCTTTCCTCGGACATGGCGACCTCGGCCGAGGCACATCGCATCGGCATCCCCCATCCCTTCAAAGAGGGCATTGCAACGAGGCACATCCTCCGCCCTCCGCCTCGCCCTGAGAGCCAGACCATGGCTGACTGCCAGGAGCCCGGCACCAGCCGAGCCTGAGCAAAGCAGAACAGAACGCGTGTGTCGCTTTTTCCGCCCACCCTCCGTGCCTGAGCGATGTCTGTGAAGTGCTGACAGAAGTCCTGACCACACCCAAACAAACACACACACAGCTTCCGTGGCTGCAGGAACCCGCCTGGATGCTCATCCAGAAGGGCTGGCAGCCCGGCAATTGAAGCTGAGCACGTCGCCTCAGCCATCGAAGTTGTATCTGCAGCATTCGACTGCCACGACTGGTGTTGCTAGCCGTAACATGTTTGTGGTTTCTTCCCAGTACGCTTAGCTGAAGCCTATGAAAGTCGGTCGTCCAAGAGTTGGCTTTCTGCGGGATCACATGGCGCTCTGCGTCAAGACGTGCGAGTTGTCCAAGCGGATCCACTGATTGGAAAGAGAAAGCAGCACTCACTACACTGTTGTCTGTGGCTTTCCGGAGTGTCCGAGGCTCCGGCCCGGGGCTGTCAGGACCCCAATGGCCATTCCATCGCCCCTGCACCAAATGTTTCTTAGCAACGAAAGACGAAAGGAAGCGGAGCGGATGTCCAACCTGGAACCAGGGATTCTCCAAAGCAACCAGCGCGTGGCCTGAGCGGCAATAACGGAGGCAAGAGCACGCTTCGAGCATCGTCCAGGCTCTTGGAAACTCGATGTAGGCCGCCGGCCGTTTACCACTTCAAGAGCAACTATGGGATACGCGCATCCACTGAGAAGTCCACTTGTCAGTACCTGCAGCATCAAGCACACCATGACACATGCTACAAGATCAAGAAGCGACTCCGGGATTTGTCGCAGCTCACCTGCGTTGATCAAAAATGTTGCTGGTTCTGAACAATCAAGGACTTCACACGAGCTGCCGTTCGGATGTTTTTCCATCAAGCAAGGAAGGCATACCTTCCATGCATGCATGCTGCGGCTGCGGGATATGCGAACCCAAATGATGCGAGACCATGTTGGTCTGCTCAAAGCTTATGTACATATCAAGCCACGCCTTTAGGCGTAAGCTGAGCCCTTCTGAGTTCTTCTCAGAACTTAGTCTTCCCGTACTTGAACCCTTGTTGATGGCGTTTATTACATGTGCTGGCGCTGGCGAGCAATGCCCTCAGGATTGCCCTTCTTTCTCCCATCACCAGCAGCAGCGCTTGCCTTCGCTGTCAAGCCTCTGCTTCTACGCAACGCCGTGCGGATGACCGGGCTGCAGCATGTGGAGACATGATCTCGCAACGACAACTTCCCTGATCTGCCTTTGCTCGCGCCTCCACCAAGCTCTTAAGACCATCCTCGGACGGAGTGCGAGAAAGACAGTGCATCCTGTGTCAAGGCGGATGAGGAGAGGACCAGGTCAGAGGAGACGCCGACCCGCTGAACCAAGTTGATAAACACCTCTCGTGCCACCAAGGCCGCTGCAGAAGTCACCCCAAGAACTCATGGCACCTCCTGCGTCATGTCAGCTGAGGTGTCCTCTGCCACGGCCATGAAAAAAGAAGCACAGTCTGCCTGCGAAGTAGCCACAGCATCGCACCGCATGAACCGTGCTAGACCAAGTGAACAGTTGAAGCGAAGACGAGAAATGCCTCGGGGACTGCAGGTGCTATGTGCGCCATGAAGTTGACGAACTCATCGTACCTCAAAGTCTCACACCCAGGATAAATGCGCAAATTGGGCAAGATAACAGACCATACTTCTACTTCACCTATACATATACATATGCTTATCCATATAAACAACATACATGTACATGCACATGTCCATGTGTATATGTTTCTGAATACACGTATGTGTATATTTGCATGTCTACAGTTATGTGTGTGTGTGTATATATATATATATATATATATGCTAGCCCCCACCCTATTGACTAACCCAAGCTTCGTATGCTCTCTCACATCAGTTCTTTGTGGTACATTCTCCTGGGAAAACCTACAGCGAAGCATTGAGGTTACTCATGCGCCAATAAACACAAAAACCACGACAAAAAATTGTGAATTTGATGTAGCCTAACTTGTTTTGATTTCCGATGATGTGCTGCATGCATTTGCTCATTTGCTTCCTCTTCCCCCCTGCAACACATCATAGAGGTTGGTCAATAGGGGGTTACCACATATATGGTGCAGCGCTGCTAGGCCCCCCCTCCCCCCCCCACCCCATGGTATACCCCCCTCCCCCCCCTGTGGTTCCCTGTGGTGTGGGTTCCCCCCTGCCCCTTGGTTGCGGTCGGCTGCGCCCCCGTCCATGACCGTAGGATGTGATACAGGTCTATTGAACTCCGACCTGCCCTGAGCTCCAAAGCCAATGATGGTGATGAATATAATGGTGATGATGATGACGAAGATGGTGGTCATGATCCCCATCCGCAATCTCCTCCGGTCCTTTGCTCAAAAGTCCCGAATGAAAACCATTCAAACACGTGCTCAAGCTTACTTGTAGCGAACCCAACCGAAACTTGGCTTGGAATGACAACGGTCGATACAGTTTGCGCAAGAACATCACAAGCCAAGCACGGTTTTCAACTAGATAAAGCAATGAACATGGGGTGCCGAAGCCCGGAGCAACATAAGAGCAAAGGTACCACCAACAGCCACACTGGGACTAGCACATCAACATCATTGTGCGCAACATTCTCATTTGTGTTCGAAGAGAGGGGAAGGGAAGGCGCCGCTGGTGTGTGGATTATCCTTCCCCACCCCGCCGCTGTGGTTCGCCGTCTTGTGGTTCCACTGTTGTGGGTTATCCCTCCCGCCCCTGCCGAGGCGAGAGGCGAGGCCTGGTTTGGGGGGGAGTTACGCGGATGACGTGTGACTCTTTGGCTTGATGGGACGAGACGCCTTTCTTGGGGGTGGGGGGGGGCATACCATGGGGGGTGGGGGGGGGGGCCTGCGACGCGGCGACGCGGCACCATATATGAAGGGGATGGTCTGTCATAGGGGGGTTGACCATATATATATATATGTATATATATATATATAAATTATTATACAAGCAGAGATCATGGAGGTTTGTCCATAGGGGCTTGCCATGTGTGTGTGTGTGTGTGTGTGTATGTATATATATATTCTATATGTGTACATATATATATATATATGAGGCAGGGTGTATTATGTGAACGTCTTCTTGGGTGAATGAAGTTATTGTTGTTATCACAACAGTTTAATACTCCATTCCTGCTTTACCGGTGCTTCGTCTATCTCACAGTGGCGGCTACGAAGTCTCTGTTTGGCCTGCGGGTCTTCGGATAATTCACAAACTCCCAAGTGTAGCGTTCAATTGTCCAACAGGCGGGCTCTTCTTGATTAATTATGGTGGTTTCAGGTGCAGACCTTCGTCCAGGATTTTCACGAACTATGATAGATAAAGGACAAATGTAGTGGGACATTGACGTTGCTCGGCTCTCGTTGCTAGAGGGTTGTATTAGGGTGCAACGCCTACCACTATTTTTCAATAATTTAAAACTTTTGAAACTTTTAAAACTATCAAATTATAAAAACCCACTATTTTTCAATAGTTTAATAATTTTCGAATCGTTTAAAACCATTAAATTGTTAAAAAAAAACCACTATTTTCAATAATTTAATGATTTTTGAAACTTTTGAAAGTATTAGATAAAAAACGATTTTTCAATAATTTAAAATTTGTTGAAACTTTCAAAATTGGTAAATTATTAAAAGACTATTATTTTTCACTAATTTAATAATGATTGAAACTTTTAAAATTATTGAGTTATTAAAAAACCACTATTTTTCAAAAATTTTGTTAATTTTTGAAACTGTTGAAACTATGAAAAAAAATCAAAAAAAAACACTATTTTCAATAATTTAACATTTTTGAAATTTTAAAAACAATTAAATTATCAAAAAACAATATTTTCAATAGTTTAATAATTTTTGAAACTTTTAAAACTGTTAAACTATTAAAAAACCACGATTTTCAATAAGTTCATAATTTTCGAAACTTTTGAAACTATCAATGATTTAATAGTTTTTTGAAACTTTTAAAACTATTAAAATATTAACAACCATTATTTTTCAATAATTTAATAGTTTTCGAAATTTTTGACCATATTAAATTATAGAAAAATGGTGGCTTTCTTTATATTTTAAAAATTTTTGAAGATTTTAAAACAATTACATTATTAAAAAGTAATGTTTTTTAATAATTTAATCGTCTTTCAAACTTTTAAAACTATTAAATAATTAAAAATAATGGGTTCTTAGTCTTAACACATAACCGAAAGGGAGGCGTTCACATAGTACATAGAGGTTTCTCTTACATATATATATATATATATGTATGGTCACACACCCCCACCCCCATGATCCACCCAGCCTTCTTGTCAATACTCCTGGGCAGTCTTCTGTCCCAAAATGCTTAGTCCCAGAGTCCGAATCTATCGGTATTTACGGTGTGTTCTGCATTTCATGTACATGTCTACGTGACATCTTTGTTCCTTTATATCATTATTAAACAAGCCGAAACCGAAACCAGATTCTTCTTCTGGATTCTGAGTTTGTCGAACGACTTACTATGTACAGTTGATTAGATATAGCTTCTCTTCCTTCCATGAAAGCAAGCATGCCAGTGGTATGTTTGACTTACTATCAACAACACTAAACAGAGGTGTTGCCTATCTATCCATACAAAACAAAGCCTAGCTCCTTATAAAACATGGAAAGGAACCTCCATGTATCTTCATGCCTCAAGGGAACCTAAGACAACTTCAAAAACAAGGGAAGCTCAGTTGTTCTTTCTCACTTGGCGTTTTTTTGTTTCATTGGAAATCTTGTTTCATCACGAAGAAACACAATAAGCCACCTTAGCCCCTCATCAGTCACTGGAACTCAGTGGCTGGAACTCAACGAGCTCTTACAATTTACAATCTACCAATACCACATAGTAACTCCAAATACGTTCGGTCACAAGTAAAGTATGTCGAACTTCTTCTTTATTATACTTGGCGGGAATTAAGACAAGCATGTATCTGGAAAGCATTCGTGGTTCCTCTCAACAAATTTGTTGTTTTTCTTACTAGAAAATGCAAGACGATCCTGGCTCAGAACATATGATCGAGCTCCGTTGCACCGCGCTACTCGCACAAGTGATATAGCTCCTGCCATCTTTGAAAACAGCATGAAACAGCTCCAGACCTCTCTTAATAGCCTCCGAGAAATGGTGGAAAGACATCTTTTCTCAGTATGCTATCAGGAAAGCAATACAACGCTTGACTCACCTCTTGAGCGAGGCTGACCTTGACTCGGTTATGATTTTGCGCCATGAGAGAAGTGAAGAGTTAGTACCGCCAGTAATCGAAGCACTTGAAAGCCCATTCACCAGGTTCCCCAGTGTCGCCTGAATGGTACCTTTTTTCCTGTTTTTCGGTTTGAATAAGGGGACCCCAAAAGCTAATAAGGCAAGACAGTAATGATACGAAATATCGGAAGTTATCAGCCATTTTTAATTTAAAATAAAATACAAGAAATACGTCTTCTTTGTTCAAGCAACGGGCAAGAGTCTAAACGGTTAGCAAGATCTTACCTCGATGCAGCAACAAGAACTCGACAGTATCTACACATATGTACAGTTCAACGAACATTTGCGCTCGCATAAAACGTTCTAAAGCATCCCCAAACACAGGTAGGTTTCAATATTATACAGTACAGCGGTTCTTCTGTTCCTTCTATTGAGCAAAGGTGATCCTAACAACAGCTATGACTTTGTTCGATGAGAGAAGCAAG